CCTCAGGCATGCCCAGGGGCCACAGGGATCCACCATCCTTCCTAAGGGCGGGAGGGCAGAAAAGCCTGACACTTTTTCATTTACCCTGCAGTGGGGTTATCCCAGTTCTGTGGCGTCTCCCCGGCCATCAGTCACTCAGAGAAGGGAGAACACCGCGCGACTCCCTCGTGGGTGGTGCGCAAGGAAACAGAAGCACAAACCAAGTTAAACAAAATACACTTTTAGACTCTATGGCCGGATCAGTGGTTACTGGGAAGGAAGTGGGAGGCAGGTCGGGTAAACCAGGTGAAAGGCCTCAACTGTCTGGTGATGAACGGAATTAGATGTTGATGGAAAACAAGATAACAGATCACATCCAGAAGTGATTTATAGGCATGTGTCCCTGAAACCTACATCACCTCGTACGCCAATGGTACTTCAGAAAATAAACTGAGGGCCTCTGGTGGCGCAGGAGTGAAAGACAGCGCTGTCAAGCAATCCAGCCACTGCAGCACGGGTTTGATCCCGGGCCAGGGAGCTGACCCACAGGGCACAGCAGACCTCTCCTGTCTCCCTGCTGCTCCCCTCAGCAGTGGATTTCAGTAGATCTACCTGTTCTGCTCCCCACTCTCTCTGGTGGATCCTCTCACCCCCCACATCTTTGGCCTGCACCCCAGATCTTATGTGCATAAATAAATAAATCTTTAAAAAAAAGAAAATAGGGCCTCCCTTGTGGCACAGGCGGTTGGTTTAGCGCAGTGCTGTGAAGCTGTCCACAGTCTCTGCAGCGCCGGTTTATCCCCGCCGGCCTCGGAGCAACCCACATGGCCAAGCAGACCTCTCCTGTCTCCCCGCTGCTCCCTCAGCAGTGTGTTTCATCAGTCTGCCTGTTCTGTTCCCCACTCTGGCTCTGGTGAATCCTCTCACCTTCCCGCGCATCTGGACTGTACCCCGGCTCTTGTATAACTAAAATAAATCTTTAAAAAAGAGAAAGAAAGAAAGAAAATAAGTTGAAAATTTTATGTGAGTGTTGAAGGGAATAGGAAGGGAACTGGGCACACTGGGTGAAGGTGGCGGCTTGTAGATGACTGGACACTAGACTTGGGGGAAGAGCATGGCGCTGTGTAAACAGATGCTGACACATACGTGTGTTCGTCTAACGCCTACACAATGCCATAAACCCGTGACTTAGGTTTTTAAAAAAAAACAAACTCTGGCACAGCAGAAGCTGAAGGGCCGTTCCTCAGCCTTCAGAGGATGTCTGCAGAAGCCTGCAGCGACCCCCTCTCGGGGGTAACAGCCAGTGGGGCGGAACACTCAGATAGAGATGGAGACAAGCCCCTGGGGCTCATCAGGAGCCTGGACCTTGGGGGCACTCCTCCTAGCCAGAGCCGCCTGTGGCCATCAGAGGGCACCAGATCATCCATGTCTGGTCACTCCCTGTGGGGCTGGCCACCTGCAGGAGGTGGCCCTCAGTGCTCTGTCACCTTCAGGATCCCCAACACCATCCTACTGGAGTCTTCTGTACACGGGGTTATCCATAGAGGGACCCCCAGGGCTGTCCTGCGGGTGGGGCTGACGGGGAGTAGTTGCAGCTGCTCGCCCTGGGTCCAGGGGATAGTACAGGGGAGCCCCACTCTGACACAGGGGTAACACCCACGGGTGAACACACCTGAGCCATTGTCTCAGCACACTGGGACGTGGCCAGTCAGGGCAGATGTCCCAGAAACACAGGGGGTCAGAGCCCTTGGCTACCCCACCCTGTCCCCTCCCCATCTACAAGGCCCCTGGGTTCACACAGGGGAGTCTCCTCCCCATCACCCTAGGTGGTCCCAAACACCAGGGTCCCCAGCTTTGTCCCCCTCCCCTCCTTGCCCCCCAACTGGGGGAACTTCATTTCCCTTTTCTGCATTGTCTGTGGCTCCACATTTCAGAAACATCATAAGCAGCTCTTCTCCCTGTTGGCGTAACCGTCCAGGCAGCGTCACTCACCCCCAGAACCCCACTCCCCAACCCTGCAGTCACTGTCCTCTCCTGAATGTCACTTAGAACTGGCGCATTGCAGTTTAGAGGAAGGGGCTCTTGGCTGCACAAAGGCACGATTGATTTAGGTGGGAGGGGACAGCTAAGCTAATAATTCCGGGAATGTTCCTCTTTCCCAGGGTAACTGGCAACACCTGTGCCTCAGACACTCGCCTGGGTGCCCTTGGGCCACTTCCAGCAGGGATGGCTGGGAGTTGGCTGGCCCGGCTGGTGCCCCGAGGCTGCAGAGAACCCTCACCCACATACTCCTGCCTGCTCCTTGGAAGGCAGTTGCTGCCCCCCTGCCCTTGGTGGCACCATCTGGGGTAAAACCTGGTCTAGGGAATACCCAAGATTCAGCCTGGGCCTTCTAAGCAACCAGCAAAATGACCCAGTTCAGATCGATGATGATGGGAAGAGGCGGGTCCTGAGTGGGCGGATCCACCCTCTGCCTGACTGTGGAGTTGACCCGAACCTCCCGGGCCTGCTCAGTCCGGTCCAGCCCAGCCTGGAAATGGATGGACAGTGAGAGACCCCACGCTGCACTGGGCGGGTGGTGGGGGCGGGGATTCCTTATAACATGACCTGCCACGGAACCGGAAGTCAGAGAAAGAACATGACCCCTCAGGTCACAGAGCAGGAATAATGTCACAACTGAGTTTAATTTTATTGTTATTTTTTAATTTTTTAAAGGTTAACAAAAGGTTTATTTACAAGGGAAGGGGAATGAGGAAATGTACAACTCAGGGAGAAAAGAGGGAGATAAATTCTTAAATGTGTTCCGCCGACCTGGAATCCCCCATGACCCGCGGAGACCAAACCTGCCCAGCCAAGAGAATGAGCCAAGTGTGCCCGACCCCACTAACATGGCTGGGTTTTATTTACAAACAGAGAAAATGGCTGCTTAACTCCACCCTTAGGTCCCTTAGGTCCTCGCCACTTCCCTTTGGGGATCCTGGGATTTGTCGTTCCTGGTGTCTTGATGGAGTGGGGGTGGCATCTGCAAAGCCTGTATGGAATTAGCTTCACTTTTTGCCATCATTTCCATGGTGTTGACGATCAAATGTATGGATGCTGGGGAAACAGTCTTAGATGAAAATTTTTCTCAGGGTTCCCATTGGAAAGCAAACCAGTCTCTCCAGGTATTGTCCTTTGTGGAAAGCAAAAGTCCTCCATTCCTGGGAAATATTTATCAGTCCAAGCCAAAAAAAAAACCAAACAAACAAAATATCTGGAGGCATTAGCCAAAACAAAACAGCAAAGATATCAAATACAGGGAAAATATTAAAATTGATTCAACTTGTGCAAAAACAGGTTCTCTCAACCTCGATCCCAAATTGTTTCAAAAGTGCAGCGAAAATTTGCAAACCAAATCTTCTTTTCAACCATATCATCTATTTTTGCATAAAATCACAGGGCAGTATAACTAAACAGCAATTTTAGCTGCTTTGTTGGAATACTCCATAAAGGAGCAGAGCGAACTCTTGACATCCGGTCCCCGTAGTCTTCAAGAACAAAGCTGGTCTCATCAGACGCCCCCTGGGCTTCCTCTTCTTGAGGGTACCAGGGCTTTTTCTTTTTCCGGGTTGTCCAGTCCTGACCATGGAGGCAGCTTCCCCACCTCCGTTGGAGGTCTCTGGAGTCTGCGAACAAAGCAACAGGTTCTCCTCTTCTTGGTTCAGCTCCGTTTCAACTTCCTGCAAGATTCCACTCAAAGCCACACAATGAAATTCATGCCCAGTTGTTTTGGTTTAAGCAGACAAAATCCCTGTGGAAGTTATGCAAAAACAGACTCTGAGATAAGTAGTAAAAAAATTACTACCACTATTTTCATGCTGTGTTGGTATCAAGGGGAGAGAAAATGTGAACAAGTTAACTTTGCTGGAAAAAAAAAACCAACATTGCTGCAGATCCTGGTCACTCAAAACAAGAAAACTTTGTGGATTCAGAACAAATGCAAAAAAAAAAAAATGAAATTACCAGTATTATGTCAAAGAAAACGTAGTAATAATCGGGTGTATTTCCAGGTCTATTCAGTTCTTTGTAGGAAATTTGTACTCTCAACAGTTCCATCAGTAGGAATCTGTTGAGGACTTTTCTCCCTGTTTTCTCCAGAAACAGTTTGTGTACTACACACTGCTGCAAGGCAGCAATCACCATTGGCAATGCACATTCATTTCTGTGCATGTGAAAGTGTTACCCGTTTCCCCAAGTGACGATGCTTCCCTTCTCGTTTTACTCTACTAGGGAAGCCAAACAGGACAAATTCATCTAATGCCTTTCCCAGGAGAAAAGGGAGAAACTTTGTGGAGTGTCCCAGGAGCTCTACTGAGGTTCCACAGAATTTCCTTCTATCAACCAAATGACAGGCTACCAAATTTGTACTTGAATTTAGACTGAGTTTCATTTTAAACAGAGCAGTTTTCCATCAAATTCAGGGTTCTCACAAAATCCTGTCCCCTAAAACTGAAGACAAGACGCAGGAAGGGAGGGGAATCTGTCCAGGACAGGGGTACCCAAGGGGCAGGAGGAACTCTCAGGCGTGTTCCCAGGGCGGTGGGGGTGGAGACTGCTGCAAGAAAAAAGAGAAGAGGGGAACCGGCTGTTAAGAGAAAAGCCACAGGCAGGCAGGAGAGGCCCGGCCCTTCCCTGTGCCCCTGAGGGTCCCCCTGGGCTGGTCGTTAATGTGGCCTGGCCTGACTCTCAGGTGGATGGTAACGGGGGCCTCATGACCTCAGCTCTGCAGGGGGCAGGGACCCTCCCTGAGCAACTCCAGGGCCTGGGGACCCTGTCCGGGGTGAGACCACAGGATGTGCTGATGGTCGGGCAGAGGGTGAGGAGATCCAGGGGAGGCTCTGAGGGAGTACGCACCCTGGGTCTCCCTCCCCTGCATGGAGCACCTCAGGAGAGCGCTGTGTTAAAACCAGAGCAGGCCAGAAGGACAGTTCCCCTTCCTGTGGGAGATGACTTGACAACCCTATGACAGGAAAGACCAACCCCCAGTGTCCCCACCCCATGTGTCTGTCCATCCTGCCAGCACCCTGGGCCCTCCATCCCCACAGCCAGGTCACAGAGAGGACGCCATGACCCCCAGCCTCACGGCCCTGCTCTGCCTGGGTGAGTGTGAGGAGGGAGGGGCGCCCTGGTCTGGAGGGACCCCACGGCCAGGCCTGGTCTGTCAGGGGACCCAGGACTCGGGAGGCTCTGGGAGGAGGCTCTGTCAGGACTCGCGGCAGGCCTCTCACTGGCCTCTCTTCCAGGGCTGAGTGTGGGCCCCGGGACCCCAGAGCAGGCAGGTGAGTCTGTGCCCAGGTGTCCCGGGTCCCGCCTCCTCACTGGGGAGGGGCCACCCCTGGGCAGCTGGGGTGGAGACAGCAGGTCTGGGGTGATGGAGGAGACATCTGGGAGGGTCTGGGCTGGGGGCTGGGAACTGGGGTGGGGTTGCCTGTGACCAGCCTCTGATTCCTTCCAGGGGCCCTGCCCAAACCCACCCTCTGGGCTGAGCCAGGCTCTGTGATCCCCTGGGGGGACCCTGTGACCATCTGGTGTCAGGGGGCCCCGGGAGCCCAGAAGTTCCATGTGTATAAAGAGGGAAGCTCAGGATCATTGGAAGGATGGACCACACTGGAGCCGGGGGACAAGGCCCAGTTCCGTATCCCACAACTGACAGTGGACTATGCAGGGAGATATCATTGTCTCTATCACAGTCCCGCTGGCTGGTCAGAGCACAGTGACCCCCTGGAGGTGGTGGTGACAGGTGAGAGCACACTCAGGGGTCCAGCCTCAGGCTCTGTCCTCAGGGAGGGGGTCTGCTCTCACGGTGTCTCCCTTCTCACAGCCCAGCCCTGGGGGACGTGGTGGGAGTGTCCCCGTTTAACACACAGTCTCCCCCTCTCCTAGGATCTTACCCCATACCCAGCCTCTCAGCCCTGCCAAGCCCTGTGGTGACGTCAGGAGGGAACGTGACCCTCCAGTGTGGCTCAGGGCAGGGATTCGACAGGTTCCGTCTGACTAAGGAAGGAGAACACAATTCCTCCTGGACCCCGAACTCACAGCAGCTCTCCAATGGGCAGTTTCAGGCCCTGTTCCCTGTGGGCCCCGTGACCCCCAGTCACAGGTGGCTGCTCAGGTGCTATGGTTACTACAGGAGCACCCCCCAGGTGTGGTCACTCCCCAGTGAGCCCCTGGAGCTCCTGGTGTCAGGTGAGGAGCGCTACCTCATCCACAGATGCCCTAGGGTCTGAGTCAGGCCCAGTGGAGGCCCGAGTGTCACATAGAGCACAGGAGCTCAGGGCTTCTGGAACAAGGGGACAGCCTCAGTGTCACACAGACATTAGAGATTCCTGGGAGAAGATGAGGGTATGGGGAATTCACCCCCGCCATCCCTGGTCTCTCCCCAGGTGGGTCTAGGAAGCCCTCCCTCCTGTCCCCGCAGGGCCCTGTCGTGGCCTATGGACAGACCCTGACCCTCCAGTGTGGCTCTGAAGTTGGCTACGACAGATTCGCTCTGGCCCAGGAGGGGGCCAGTGGCTTCCAGCAAAGCCCTGGCCGGGGGTCCCCAGCTGGGCTGTCTCAGGCCCACTTCCCCCTGGGCCCGGTGAGCCGCCTCCACGGGGGCCGGTACAGATGCTACGGGGGACACAGCCTCTCCGCCCAGTGGTCGGCCCCCAGCGACCCCCTGGACATCCTGGTGGCAGGTGAGGAGCCAGGGGCCGGTCAGGACCCACCATCAGCAAAGACCCTGCTGGGGACTCCGGGTGAGGGACAGGAGGAGGGATATGGGGTCCTCAGGGAGGGAGACAGGAGAAGGGGGGAGGGGGAGACCCCAAGACTCAGACACACAGAGATGAGGGTCCCCAGAGCACGGCGGGCCAGCCCTCTCCCCTCCTCTCTCTAGGATGGCTCCCTGACACCCCCTCCCTGTCCGTGAGCCCGGGCCCCAACGTGACCCGCGGAGAGAACGTGACCCTGCTGTGTCAGTCCTGGGGCCCGAGGGACACTTTCCTGCTGTCCAAGGAGGGGGCCACCGAGCCCTCCCTGCGTCTGACCGCAGAGCGCACAGCTCAGAAGCTCCAGGCGGGATTCTCCCTGGGTCCTGCCACCTCAGTCCTCGGGGGCACCTACAGGTGCTACAGCTTCGACAGCAGCAAACCCTACCTGCTGTCACACCCCAGTGAGCCCCTGGAGCTCCTGGTCTCAGGTGAGGCCCTCCCCTGTCCTCTCTGCCGGTCACGCAGGTCCTGTCCTCGGGGCTCTGATCTGTGGGTGCGAGGGGTCCTAGGCCAGGTCACCAGAGGCAGATCGTTCCTCAGAGTCCCTCCCACACTCTCCACCCTCCTCCCCACCTGTATTCAGCAGGTGCCAGTTGGGCAGCTGGAGGAACTTGAGGGCCACTGGGAAGATGAAGGAGAAGAGTAAGGTGGGGGCAGTGGGGTCTGTCCTGCCCTCACTTTGTCCTATCCTTATTCCCTGGAGCCTCCAGGGACCCCAGCCTGTCGCCCACAGGGCCGAGCTCCACAGCTGATGAGTTTGGGGGTCTCTGCTCAATGGGGCACAGACACCACCCCCACCCCCCAGGCAGTTCTGAGTCCCTCGGCTGATCCAGTGCGTCCCGAGACCCTGTCTTTGGGAGGTGACAGGAAAAACCTGCAGCTGCGAGGAGACACTAGGACAGGCCCCGCCTGCAGATGAGGAGCCCAGAGCCTGAGCAGGTGTCCCCTGGGGGCAGCATGAGGACAGCACAGGACCCCCAATCCTGGTCCAGTCACAGCCCTGGCACACACAGGCTGGTGACCAGGCCGGTGATTAACCTCTCTGAGCTCAGTCCCGTCTGTACAGTGAGGGATGGGCCACGCCATGTGCAAGATTGAATTAGAGGAGATGACGCGCAGACCCAGCATGTGCCTGCACACAGGTGCACAATCCAAGTGTGTCCGGTCCATTCATGACTTCCCAGGTGCCCAGGGTCTGGATTGGTACCTGTGGGTTGTGATCGGGGCCTCGGTGGCCTTTGTCCTGCTGCTCGCCCTCCTCCTCCTGCTGCTGCTTCTCCGACGACCATGTCAGGGCAAACGCAGGAAGTCGGGTGAGTGGGCCCGGGGTGACCGGCCGCATGTGGTGGTCGGTCCTCCCAGGGTGGTGGCAGGGCTGAGGGCACCAGCCAAAGGGAAATAACTAGAAGGGAAGGTTAGCGTAGAAAACCTCTCTGGCATTTCCTCGTGAGAGGCTCTACAAAGAAAGCACTTGATGCAGCGCCTGTGTCCATGTTACGGCTCTTTCACACAGTAGGTGTTCAGGTCCCGTCTTCCTCTGGAGTCCCCGGAGGCAGGTGGTTGTCCCCCAGGGTGGAGCCAGAGGAGGGAGATGGCCCAGAGAGACTGATTCCCGCTTCCTTCAGGGGAGGGCCCTGGGACAGGTGACGCCGCCGCAGACCCCAGACCTACCCACCGCCCTTCTCTGCCCCAACACTCGGGTCTCCTCCCCCAGCTCCAGCCCTGCTGCCACCCAGGGAGAGACCCCAAGTGAGAGGATGAGGCAGGCTGCCTGGAGGTGGGGGGCTCTGGGAACCAGGAGTGAACACTGAAACCCCACATATGGGCCCTCAGTCACTCCCTCCCCTTGGAACACAGGGACCATCTAGGACAGGGGAGCTGCACCCCTGAGAGCACTCAGGAACCCCAAGAGACACGCCCTGTTCTGTCCCAGCAGATGCTGCCCAGACAGACACACAGCCTGAGGAAGGGGGGCAGCTGGACCCTCAGGTGAGACCCTGCTCTTGCCCAGGCACCAGGCCCTTCTTGTCCCCACATTTCAGTCGACACTCTGTCCTCACGTCACCCGCTCTCAGCAGTGTCCACAGCGACTCCGCTTCTGGGGCCCTCCTGAGACTGCACCCTCCTGCTTTCTGTGACCTCATACTCTTCCGCGGGGCCTCCTTCTGCTGTCTTGTCCTCTGCCTGACTTTCTGGTTATTGGGGTGCAGCCCCAGGGCTCCAGGGAATGCATGAGGAAGTGAATCACCCACATTCCCCAGGCCCTTCACCATTCACCCAGCATGATCATGGGGTTCCCTGCTCGCCTGGCCCCACTGGGTGCTGCAGGGCCGGCAGGGGCCACACTGTCCCCTCTCCTGAGAGCAGAGAGTATCCTAGAGAGCAAAGTGTACCGAGGGATAAAGCAGAAGGGAGAGGGACAGGAAACAGCAAGTGCAAAGAACCTGAGGCAGGTGCTTCAGGGAGAGGGTGGGTGGGACTGGAGCCACATGAGCAGAGATGGCACATTAGGATAGAATCAGGACCTTAGAAAGATCCAGATGCTCCAGGGCTTTGGAAGTCCCTGCAGATTGCTCAGGAAGTGACCTGATCTGAGTGAATGTCTGAAAATCTCTCTGTGACCACATGGAAAATTTGCTGGAGGAAACACTGGAATCCATTGTTTCCGTTTCACTGTCTGTCAGAACCCGCAAGATGGAGAGACCCAGGGAGTGAGGCCCACCCAGGTGAACAACTGCAGGGCAACACTCAAGGGGGGAGTGGCCACGTCTCCTTCCCCCCTATCCAGGGAATTGCTGGACATGAAGGAAAGACAAGCAGATAACAGACCGGTGGACAGCCAGGTGGGTCCCGCCCTCACCAAGACCCCAGGCTTCCCCCACCCCAGTCACACACTTACTCCCTTGCATCTCCCCCCACAGGCTGCAGCATCTGAGGAGGTGACCTATGCCCAGCTGAACCGCTTGACCCTCACGCGGCAGACAGCGCCCTCTTCCTCGCCGTCACAGGAGCCCCCCGATGAATCCAGCACGTATGCTGCTCTGGCCACCCACTAGCCCAGGGAGGACCGGACCCCACACTCCAGGACAAGATGCTGGGGCCCTGGAAGGCCCAGGAGCTGCCCCCACAGATGCAGCCCTCTGACCCCAGGCAGCCTGACGCCTAACACGGACCCCCAGTGGCTGCTGAAGGCCTTTGAGTCACCTGATTCTGACATCAGAGAGAACTAATGTCCCACATTTTGGAAATAAAGCCACAGACTTCTCATTAAACAATGGATGTGATGAGATTCAAACAGAAACGAGAGAATGCTTTAGACGGAGTGATAACACAAGCACACCGGCTTGGGCGAGAACAAGACGGCTGCCAAGAGCTGGCTGGAAAGCCACAAACGGAGCATGGCGGGAAGCGCAACTGTGCAGACTTAGGAGTAGATTCCTGAACAAATATTCACCAAGATTTGACACTCCATGAAATGGGTGACGCCTCAGGGCCATGCTGGCCTGTCTGTTTCCAGTTCCAAAATCACTCAATACAATTCAAACGTTAAAAGAAGAAATAGAAAAATGGCCTTGTGAACAGATACAGAACATTTGAAAAAAATGCGTGATTGATTTATGACAAAAAACAAGCTCTTCAGGGGCCTCCCCGGTGGCGCAGTGGTTGAGCGCTGGGTTGCGAAGCTGCCCACAGCCTCTGCAGCGCCGGTTCGATCCCCGGCTGCTCCCCGGCCACCGGCGAGGGTCCCACATGGCGCGCAGACCTCTCCTGCCGCCCGCTGCTCCCCTCAGCAGTGTGCCTCGGTCCTTCTGCCTGCTCTGCCCCCCGCTCTGGCTCTGGTGAGTTCTCTCACCCTCCCGCGCTTCTGACTGTACCCAGTGCTTGTATAAATAAATAAATAAATAAATCTTTAAAAAAAAAAACAAAAAACAAGCTCTTCAGAAATGAGATTTCTGATCATTTATCAAAGCATCTTTTAAAATCTTTAACAGAAATAAACTTTAAAAGTAAAAGCCTGGACTCTTTCTGCCTGTGATTGAGACTAAGGCAAGAATGTCCACTTCCATTCAGGGGGCCCTGGAAGAAAAAAGAAAAAAAAGAAAAAAGATGAACGTGATATGCACTAAATGGAAGGAATAAACAGTATTACTCACATATTACAAAATTGTGTGCATGGGAACTCTAAAATAATGTAAAAATCAATCATTCCCATTTGAAAAGATGGTTCCAGAGTCATTGGACAAATCAACAATTCGTAAAACTCAGTTGCACCAGAAACTATGTAATAAAAAGTCAAGGCTTAATTTCCCCGACCTCATATAATTTGAGGAAGTCAATCATAGGGAAGAATATGAAATAAGGATGAATACATTGAAATAATTATTTGCAATTACATATCCTTGCAGCATCCTCCTGCCTGCAAGGAAAAGAATGAAGGACAGAAGCTGGGAGGTCAGGCTGAAGAACGCAAAGGACAGCCCTGCCTACCTGTGCTTGGATCACGCCGTGTCCCAGGCCCGGTCCCGGTGGCGTGAGCTGTCATTGGCTCGCCCGTCTAATATGAATTAATTGGATGCATTGATGTATGTATGATTCCTACGGGAACAATAAAGACTAACACAAATTAAAAATAAAAAACTCGGTTGCATTTCTTTTTTTTTAAAGATTTTTATTTATTTATTTACACAAGAACCGGGGCACAGGCCAGATTCGAGGGAGGGTGAGAGGATTCACCAGAGACAGAGCCGGGAACAGAACAGGCAGACGGACCAAAATCCACTGCTGAGGGGAGCAGCGGGCGAGACAGGAGAGGCCTGCTGCGCCTTGTGGGACCCTCGCCCGCCAACCCGGATGGAACCGGCGCTGCAGACAGCTTCACAGCGCGGCGCCCAACCGCCTGCGGCACAGGGGATGCCCTCGGTTGCGTTTCTTAGAATTTTGGACAAAGAGGGAATAGTGTGTCCCCAGTCCCACAAAGCACAGGGGATCCCCCACCCTGCAGACAACACGACAAGGACTCTCTGAGGACCACACAGGAGGCAGCAGGAAGACTGAGCCTGTTAGCACCCCAGGGGTGCAGCGGGAGGCAGTGGGGACGCCATGGGCACCTGGACTGTCCCTCCACCCACAGGCGGGTTCAGCGCTCAGGTATCAAAGGCTCAAAGTCACATCCACATTGTCAGCACCATATGCACAATGTCCCGGTTCCCATAAAAGTGTCACGGGTCATGACAGGCGCAGGCAGGGAGAGAAGAGACACACAGCGGCTCACAGACGCTGAGACAGTGTAGGGGCTGGAGTAACTGTCGAGGGCGTAAGGAGCTGTAACAAATGCCCTGAGGGGCGATCACACGCACGGAAAATAAACCCGAAGATCCTGAAAGTTGCAGCAGAGAAACAAAGATACAAAGAACCATACAGAAACCGTAGGCCTAAATAGTCACTCAGCGACCTAAAATCCCCCTGGGTGGACAGGCTCAACCACAGAATGCGCGGCCAGAGGAGACGCCAACTTGAAGACAGAACGACAGAAATTACTCTGTCTACACAGCAGGGAGCAGATAAGCTGGAAAAGAAGGAGAGCAGAGGCCCAGGGCCTGTGCAAGCCAAGCCATGCGTGACCCCGTCCGACTGTTATAGGACAGGGAGAGGGGCAGCCCAAACCCCGCAAACCTGCCTATTCTACATGGGTTCTGCCATCCGCCGCATCAACACAAAACATAGGAGACTTTAATGGGAAGGAACTTTAATAAAACTAGGAAACAATACAGGCAAGGCAAAGAGTCTAGTTTCTAAATGAAGCACCCAAAGTGACCTGTCCCCTCGTGGGTACAAGTCCATCCATATGGGATCGGCCCAGAGCAAGGCCCCAAGGCCTGCCACAAGTCTAAAGCATCTTCCAGTGGGGACCCACAGAAAAGGGTCAGAAACTACCAGACAAGCCCGGAAGGAAAAGAGCAAAATCAACATCAAGATAAAAGCTGCCATTGTCACCTCCCCACGGGTCTCACCCACATCTGTGTCACCCAGTCCACGACCAAAAGACAAGCTCAGTTTCTTCACGTGTCTCTAGGCTCCATGCGCCTCCTCCAGGTCTCCTGGCTCCATCCTGCTTCCTTCCTTAGTCTCTTCTGCAGCTTCTCCTCTTCCTGCTCAGCTCCACCCTCCCTTGGGTGGGGCAGGGAACCTCCCCCTTTCCTGGGGACCACCCTGTTGCACGACAAGCTGAGAGAGAGGACCAGACAAGAAACTGCTCAAGACACAATGGCTGAAATGTCCCCACTTGGCAGAAGTCACAAACCTACATGTTCTTGGCACAGGTGACCCCCAAACACACCAGGCCCAAAGAAATCCACGCCAGGCATGTCATAATCAAGCAAGGAAAACACAACTCAGATTCGGCATGGCAGTGAAGAAAGGTGCCTCACCACAGAGGGGCCCTCTCAAGTGACCACAGGCCATGCCGAATCCTTGCGGTGGTGAGATCAGCCTGCGGGAGGAGGGGGCAATGGACACTTTCAGGTGAGGGGGAAAGAGAGATGCTCTAAGCCGACCTGCCCTCCACGAGCAGCCCAGAAGCTTCCCCAGAGGGAAGGAAAGGTGAAGACAGGAGTTGAGCCTTGACTGAAGCGCAAGAATCAAGGCTCTGTGGACCCCAAATAGAACTCGGAGGGTTCCCAGGAACTGTCCTATCACCTCACCTTCTCCAGCCTGGCCATAATCTTTTCTTTTCATAATACGCTACCTCAGCATAAACAACTGGCAGGGTCAGGCAGCAACCCAGTCGGGCTTCTCCACAGCACTGTTCCCCGAATGCAGGACGTTATCTGACTGACTCCGGTTCTGCCACTGAAGCTCAAAGGCACGCGTTTCTGGCAGAATGACCAGACCATGGTGCTCTAACAGAAAACACCCCAACGTCAGGATGGACACCTCTGGAGTCTTGCCATGTTATTATACATCTAAAGAGAAACTGGGCTGGTGTGGATTGGTCAAGGCAACCCCAAATTTTTGGGACTGCCCCTAAGAGAGCCCAGAGGGTAGGAGGTAAGAACCTACAGCCCCTGCTCCCACCTGGCTGGTTAGGGCCCCGGTCTTCCCTGGACACAAGGGCCTGTGCAGGACTCTCTGCCCAAATCTCCAGCTGGCCTCCCTGCTGAGGGGGCCTCCGGGCTAGGCTGGGCTTCCTCTCTTCTGCCCCCCCCTTTTTTTTTGACTGGGTTGTTTACTTTGTTTTTGTTGAGTCTTATCAGCTCTTTGTAGATCTTTGTGATCAGTCCCTTATCATTAGTATTGTGTGCAAATTTTTTCTCCCAATCAGTGGGGTCTCTTCGTTTTGGTTAATGTCTCTTTCGCTACACGGAACCGTGTGGCTTCAGACAGCACCACTCCCAGGTCGGCCTCTGCACTGTGAGTGCGGGATCTGCTGCTGACACACCTGCTCCTTCCCCAAACGCCACTCTCCTCCTCGATCACGCGAACCCCCAAATCACTTCCCGGGACCATTTCCAGTATGCTTGCCTCAGTGAGGCTTTTTTGTTTGTTCAGTGAGAAACCCTCCTATATAATCTGAAACCTGTGGGCAGAGGGCAGGGAAGATGGGTGGGGAACATGAAGAAAATAGCTGGCTGGGGCCATTTTCCCTCCAGACTGCTCTTCTTCTCGGTTAGTCCTCAGCTTTGGCTGTGAAAACAGAGTTTTCCTTTTCTCCACACAGCGGTGATTATTTCGAAGTCCACAGAAGCAGAGACCGTACACCCAAAAGCACAGCCCGCTCACTGCCGGGCACAGACCGCCCCGTCCCGCACCCAGGCAGAACCCCGGCGGTCAGTGCCGTCCCCCCATTCTTGAAGGAGGCAGAGGCAACGAGACCCCGTCACCTCCGTGCGTAGCGCCTCACTGTCGCCCCTGGAAAGCGCATGGAGAGTGCTGTGACTTCATTTTCAACATTTTCCCATTTTTCTTGAGTTGCTCTTTCCCACGCGGATTATTTAGAAGTGTGTTGTTTGATTTCCAAATAGTGGAAGATTTTTCAGTGAGCGTTCCACCGGCAAACTTTAACTTAAACTCCATTAGGGCCAGAGAAGAAGAGGCGTGTGATATTAATTCTCTGATTAAATGTGTCAAACGTTGCTTTACACCAAGGATACGCACAGCCGTGGTCGATACCCCGTGTGCACTTCAGAGTGTAACAGGGGGGTCCCCAGGAAAGGAGGAGGTTCCAGGTTCCCTGCCCGACCCAGAAGGAGGGTGGAACAAAGCAGGGAGAGAAGAAGCTGGAGAGGAGACTGAGGACGGAAGGAAGCAGGATGCAGCCAGAAGGAGCCCTGGAGGAGGCGCGTGGAGCCCTGGAGGAGGCTCATGGAGCCAAGAGTGTAAAGAAACTGCGCCTGCCTTTTGGTCGTGGACTGGGTGACACAGGTGTGGGTGAGAGACTTGTGGGGAGGTGACAATGGCGGGTTTTGTCTTGATTTTCATTTTGCTCTTTTCCCTCCAGACTTGTCTGGTTGTTTTGGATCCTTTTCTGTGGGTCCCTCTGGAAGATGCTTTAGACTTGTGGCAGGCTTTGGGGCCTTGCTCTAGGCCAATCCCGTTTGGATGGAGTTTTACCCATGAGGGGACGGGTAACTTTGGGTGCTTGATTTAGAAACTAGATTCTTTGCCTTTCCTGTCTTGTTTCCTAATTGTATTAAAGTTCCTTCCCACTAAAGTCTCATATGTTTTGTGTTGATGCGGCGGATGGCAGAGCCAGCAGATTTGCGGGGTCTGGGCTGTCCCTCTCCCTGTCCTATAACATTTTGTGTTGATGCTGCAGATGGCAGAACCTATTTAGATCAGACAGGTTTGGGGGTTCTGGGGTACCCCTCTCCCTGCCCTGTAACAAAAGGAGTGTATATTTTTGCTATTGGTTGTGGTCATTTTTTTTTTTTAAGATTTATTTATTTATTTATACAAGCACTGGGTACAGTCAGAAGCGCGGGAGGGTGAGAGAATTCACCAGAGCCAGAGGGGAGAGCAGAGCAGGCAGAAGGACCGAAGTACACTGCTGAGCGGGCGGCAGGAGAGGTCTGCGCGCCATGTGGGACCCTCCTCCGGTGGCCGGGGAGCAGCCGGGGATCGAACCGGTGCTGCAGAAGCTGCGGGCAGCCTCACAACCCAGAGCCCAACCACTGCGCCACCGGGGGGGGGGCCTGATTTGCCATCTATTTGAACTATCAGTTACCAAGACAGGAAAAATCCCTGACTATAATTGTGGGTTTACCAATTTTCCTTTCATTTCTGTCCATTTTTATGGATGTTGAAGTGCTGGGTTTTGTGCAAACTCATTTAGGATTATTATGTCTTCTTACCCAATGGACTTTTTATCATGTAATGTAGCTCTTTACCCCTGATAATTTTCTTGTTCTTGTTCAAAAGTTTACTTTACATGGCATCTTATGCTGTACAGTCGTACGCAACAGAGCACTGTGGTAGATAAGGTCACTTCCTTTCCATTTCCCAAGAAGCCCAAGCCCTTTGAATGTTATCTTACATGACAACAGGAACTTTGCAAATGTGACTAAATGAAGGATCGTGAGATGAGGACACGATGCTGGCTACCTGGGTGAGCCCTGCGCTATGCACAGGCTCCTTATAAGAGGCAGATAAAAGGGTCAGTGTCAATGGTAGGAAACATGATTTCAGAATCATGAGACTGAGGGATGGAAGGAAGGGACCAGGAGCCCAGCACGGCAGACAGTCCCTGGAAGAGGAAAAGGACAAGGACACACATTCTTACCACAGGGTAACAAAAGCAACCAGTCCTGCTGATCCTCATCATCAGCCCACAGAGCTGACTGTGGTTCTGATTTGCAGTACAGTAAGATATTAGATCTGCGCTGACTGCAGTCACAAAGTTTGTGGTTAGCTACAGCGGCCACGGAAAACTGACAGTTTCTCTTGTGGTCGATGTGTGCATGATGTACTCTGAGCCTTTTTCTTTTTGATCTATTTACATCATTGCATTAACTATTTTTAAAATATACCATTATACAAGTTTTTCAGGTGTGCATAACTCAAAATCAACATGTCTATAGATAACACTAATTTTTAAAATGAATTTTTTGTACACTGCACATAGTTGGGTCTTACTACTCATTAACACAGTCCCATGATCTTTGCCATTTAACTGTGTTTTCTCCATTTATATCTAACGTAATTATTGAGAAGGATGATTTTGTTCATTTTCTCTTTGCCACCCTTATAGTTGGCTCTTCAGTATTCCTTTTCCTGCTTTCTTTCAGCCTTCAGAATATTATTAGTATTCATTTTAATTTAGCTATTGGCATTTTAATTATAAATTTCCATGTTTTTTAAAGTGGGTGTTATAGTTGTTACAATATATACAACCTAATTGTACAGTTTCAGTATCTTTGCTTTCAGCAGACATACAGATTTTAAAGAAATTAAAAAGAGAAAAATATGCTATTACATCTACTAGATATTTACCCATTTTTAACTCATGCTTGGGAGCCCAAGTTTCCCTCCGGTTTATTGACTTCCTGCCTGAAGAATTTACCTTTTCACTTCCTTTCAGGTAAGTTGGCTACAGATTTGGAGTTCCTCCTCTAAGAAAGACTTCATTTTGCTTTCATTCTAGAAGTATGTTCATAGAATATTCATAGGCATATGTTCAGAAGAATTACAATTGACTGTTCTTGTCACCCAGAACTTTTAAATCTTCTGAATGTGATGGATTCTATGTGAAATCTGTGATCATTCAAGTTGTTTTGCTTCTGCATATACCTGGTATGTACCTGGTATTATTCACCCAATACTTTTAATATTTCTTATCTTGTTTTCACTAGTCTGATTATGATTATGATCTGCATGAACAGAAACCACCCCCTACAACCATCTCATCCCAATAAACACCCCGTGATTCCGCAGAGCTCTGCCTTCCTCGGCTTGCCCTTGGCCACACTAACCAGCTGACTCCCTTCCAATCTGAGGAGCACGTGACTCTGGCCCCAGTCCACAAACTGCAAATACATGTTCTTATAGTTCTGTGTAGGGGTTCGAGGAGAAACCCCGTAAACCACTCGCACTGCTGATCCACACGCCATCCAGAGCCCTCCTCACCGTCTCCACACGAGGAGGCTGCTGCTCACCATCTCCCCTCTGCCTCAGACTCCAGACAGCGCCTGCGCTCAGGACCCTGGGACCAGGCCCAGCCCACTGGACGCTCTCCAGCCTCAGCGCAGGCAGGGCCGCTCTGGTCAGGGCTCAACCCCACCTCTAAGCTAAGCCCTGCCCAGGCCAGGGCCGCTCACCCCAGAAGGACCCCCAACCAGGACCACAGAGTGCAATGTCCACGGATGGTTACTCAATCCCACGGTCCCATTTTCGTCTTTCTTCCAACTGGCAGTCTCACAGCAAGACGATGACACAACATTCGCATTGAGCACACCATTATGTGTCTCCCTCCACCTGAGCCCGGGGACCAGGGAAAACCTCTGTCACCCTCACCACAGAGGGACATGCTAACTACTCAATAAACACTGACTCACAGGGTAGCTGATGAAAGAAGGGAAGAAAATTTGCATTTACAGAAACTCAGAAAAGGGAAGTGGCTAAGGCAGACTTGAGCAGCCTCAGGGCTGGCCTCCTGCATCCTCAGCCCCTGGTCTGGGCCCGGGTCCCTCTCTGGATGAGGGTTTGTCACGAGGGGGAGGCAGAGCCTATGGGGGTCTGAGACTCACATCTGCTCTGGGAGGTCCCAGAGCCCCAGTCTCCTGGTCAGGTCCTTCAGGAAGAGCAGAGTGAGGCCCCTTAGAGGGGCTGTTCCCCATCCTGTGCAACCGCAGATGAGGAACCCCTACTTGCCACATGGACATAGAACTGGTCACATCCTCTGCATCTGTTTGTGCTGCCAGATTCTGTCTGTCCTGCCAGGCTCTGTGGACTCACATCGTCTGCACCACAGGGGACATGGGAGGCAGCACCCCGACCCTCATGGTCCTTCTCTGCCTGGGTGAGCTTCAGGGGATGAGGAGGGGTGGCTTCTTCCTTCCATGTCTGGCCTGAGAGTCCCCAAGACTCAGGAGCTCTGTGGGGACAGCACTTCCGGGAGGGGAGATGTGCTCAGCCCTGATCTGAGCAGTCCTTGGGGCCAGCCAGGTCTGAGCTCCCCTGTGGGGGGACAAGTCTCACAGGCCTCTCTTCCAGGGCTGTGTTGGGGCCCACGGGACAAGGTCCAGGCAGGTGAGTGCTCCCCACACCTCCTGCCTCAGCCCAGGGCCCCTGGACAGTGGGGGAAGCACAGCGGTGTGGGCGATGGGACCTGCCTGGAGGGGCTGAGTGACGGCTGGGGAAACTGAGGGAGAGGCAGCCCGACACTCACCTGACTCCTTTGCAGGGACCCTCCCCAAACCCGCCATCTGGGCCGACCCAGGCCCCGTGGTCCCCGTGGGGAGCCCTGTGACCCTCTGGTGTCAGGGGTCTCAGCAGGCGCAGGTCTACCATCTGTACAAAGAGAGGGTCTCTGGAGCCGTGGAGACGGAGCGACCACACAGCTCCAGCGACAGGGTCGGCTTCCACAGGGAACACACAAGTGCGCACGATGCGGGACGATACCAGTGCGCCTATAACAGCTCCAGCGCCGCCTCCGAAAACAGCTCCAGCGCCTCCGAAAACAGCACCAGCGCCTCCGAAAACAGCACCAGCGCCTCCTCCGAAAACAGCACCAGCGCCTTCTCCGAGAGGAGTGACCCCCTGGCCCTGGTGGTGACCGGTAAGTGGGGAAACTGGGTCCCCTCCCGCTGGGGCTCCCCCTCACGGGCAGAGGGAAGAAGAGCGGGCTCAGGGGACCTCACCCTCACTGTCCTCACTGGGTATTGGGGTGATGGTCCCCCTCGAACACACTCTCTCCTCCCTCAGGAGCGGGGACCCCACCCTCCCTCTCAGCCCAGCCCAGCCCTGTGGTGGCCTCAGGAGGGAACGTGACCCTCGCCTGCAGCTCACAGAACATATCGGGCACTTTCCATCTGCTGAAGGAGGGAGACTCAGACCCGCCCCGACAAAGAAACTCAAGTTTTCTCCAGGGGAGACACCAGGCCCTCTTCCCCGTGGGCCCCTCGAGCCCCTCCCACGGGGGCACCTACAGATGTTACCATAATTCCTACTCCTACCCCCTCATGTGGTCCGCGCCCAGCGCCCCTCTGCGTCTCCAGGTCACAGGTGAGGCTGCACCTCGTCACGTCCCTCCAGGCCCAGGGACTGGCTAAGCCCGTGTCCCGGGGAGCCGGGGGTGACGTGGGGCCAGTGACGTGGACTCCTGGGTCCAGATCACAGCGCAGGGGCGTGGGAGGGACGGTGAGAACTCACCGCTGCCCAGTGGACAATGCGGGGTGACCCTCGGTGCCACTGTCCCCGTGTCCCCAGGAGCGTACGGGGAGCCCTCCCTGTCGGCGCAGCCGGGCCCCCTGGTGCCGTCTGGACACAGCCTGACCCTGCGGTGCGGCTCGGGGGCCGGCTTTGGCAGGTTCGCTCTGACCAAGGATGAGGGGCGCACGGGCCCCCAGCGTCTGGACGGGCAGCACAGCCCCGACTTCCCCCTGGGCCCTGTCGCCCGCACCCACGGGGGCCAGTACAGGTGCTACGGGGGACACAACCTCTCCCACGTGTGGTCGGCCCCCAGCGCCCCCCTGGACATCCTGATCGCAGGTGAGGAGCCGCCCTGGGTCCCGGTGGGCTGTTGAGGGCCCGGGCCCAGGTCACCTTGGGGGTGATGTGTCCAGGGGGAGGGTCCTGGCAGAGGCCGAGATGGACAGTGGTCGAGGGAGCGCAAGCGAGAAAGTGGGGTGAGGGGCACAGACATAGAGAGACCCACACAGGAGTGGAGGACCGGGCGTCCCAGAGGCCCCGGACCAGGACAGGGGCCCTCGGCGCAGGGTCAGGGGTGTGGGGTTGGGGGGTCTCTAATGCCAAACCTCCCCCAGGAATGGACCCGAAACCCTCCCTCTCGGCCCAGCCCGGGCCCACCGTGTCCCCAGGGGAGAACGTGACCCTGCAGTGTCGCTCTGACGCCCACTCGGACACCTTCTACCTCTCCAAGGAGGGGTCGCCTGCGTCCCCCCAGCGCCTGCTTCTGCAGGACACAGCTGCCCCCTCTCAGGCCCTCTTCACCTTCAGGGCTGTGACCTCAGCCCACGGGGGCACCTACAGGTGCTACAGCTCACACAGCGCCTCCCCCTTCCTGCTGTCACACCCCAGTGACCCCCTGCGGCTCCAGGTCTCAGGTGAGGAGCCCCTGCATCCTTGTGACCTGGGCTGGGGTGGGAGTAAGGTTAGGGGAAGGAGGGGATCAGCCAGGAGGGGAGGGAATCACCTCCAGTGGAAAGAGAAGCCTGAGCAACTCGCTCCCTGGCCCCCAATGCTACAGCCACCCGGGTGACGCACAGAGCCCCCATCCCACAGGCACCAGGGCCCTGGCGACCAGGGGCTGGAGTGGTGGTGACCTGGGGCACAGGCTCCAGGGACTCAGGACTGTGACCTGGGGCAAGGGAGCTGTTGCCCCCCTCACCCAGGGAGGAGCAGCTGGCCAAAGTGGGAACAGCAGCCCCCTCTGCTCCTGGGAAGCTGTTTGATGGCTGTGAAGGGCCGTGTGGGGAGCAGAGGAGCTCAGTCTGGACTGGGCTCAACCCCTTCCTGAGAGAAGGGCTGAGAAACTTCCTTCTTCTCTCTGGGTCTGATTCCTCCTGCACCGGATGCAAAGGCCGCTTGGACACTGCACGTGGGGCCCCGGGTCGGGGGCATAGGGAATGTGACCCCTCTCCCGTAGGCACAGGGGCTCAGCCTTTTGAGGAGCAGAGTACTGTTAGGAAAGACCCCGGATTTTCCAATCCTGCTCTCTACCCCACATGGGGTCTGAGGGTCGTGTCCCTCCCCTGTGTGGGGTCACCGTCTCCATAACCAGCTTCCCACCCCTCCCCGGGTGACAGGCCTCAGCATGGAGCCTGCTCCCGCCCACAGCTTTCCCTCCTGCGTCACCCAAGGCACAAGCCCCAAGGGTGGGCGGTGCAAGCCTCTGCAGAGGGGGAGAGGGGCTGGGGGCTGGGAGGCGGTGGGGACAGGTCTCTGCACTGGGGTTCTGCCCAGAGAGTGAGGGGACAGCAGGACAACAATTATGATGGGGACGAAGTGGAGGCCCACGCCTGCGTCCAGTCCCAGTCCTGCCGTGTACAGGCTGGTGACCTGGGCCAGTTGTTAACCTCTCTGAGCTCAGTTTCCTCATCTGTATGTGGGGGGCGAGGCGGGGAGGCAGGGAGAGCACAGACCTGCATGTGCCTGCACACAGTAGGTGCTCAATTCAAGGGTGTCCTGTCTCCTCCGTGATGTTCACAGATGCCTGGGATGCTGGGTATGTAAGAGTCCTGACCGGGGTCTCAGTGGGCTTCATCCTGCTGCTCTGCCTCCTCCTCCTCCTCCTCTTGCTCCTCCGACAGCGGCGTCAGAGTAAACGCAGGAAGTGGGGTGAGTAGGGGACAGGGTGACCGGGTCCCCAAAGGCAGTGGGCTCCCCAAGTGATGAGGGTGGACAGAGGGAAACAAACAGGTAGGTCAGCTTAGAAAACTTCTCTAGGATCTCAACTCAGAGAATCTAAAAAGAAAATAATACAGTCCCTGTGTACAATTTAAGTCTTTCATTTTTTTTCAATATCATGAAATATTGAGACACGTAAGCTAGGAGGATGAGGGCCCAGGGGTGAGCACTGAACCCATACACAGGACCTCAGTCACCCCTTCCCCTGGACCTCAGTGCCCATCTGGGACAGGGCAGCTGTACCCCTGAGAGCTCAGGAAGCCCCAAGAGACACTCCCTGTTCTGTCCCAGCAGATGCTGCCCAGACAGACACACAGCCTGAGGAGGGGGTGCAGCTGGACCCTCAGGTGAGACCCCTGCTCCTGTCCAGACACCAGGCCCTTCTTGTCCCTGCATGTCATCAATGGACACTCTCTGTCCCTTTGTCACCTGCTCTAAGCAGCGCCCACACACTCTCCTCTGGCAACTGGGTCCTGCTGGGGTTTCACCCTCCTGCTTTCTGTGACCTCATGTCCCTCCTCAGGGTCCCCTTCTTGTCACCTTATCCTCTGACATTACGGTTGTTGGGGAGCAGCCCTAGGGCTCAAGGGGATGCATGAGAAAGTGAATCACCCGCCATCCCTAGCACATATGCACAAGGACCTCACTGCTCACCCTGCTCCACTGGGTGCTGCAGGGTCAGCAGTGGACACACTGTCCACTCTCCTGAGCACTCCTAGGGGTGAAACAATGTGCAAATGAGTGGAGAACCTCCCAGAGAACAGCATACACCAGGGGAATTATGCAGGAGCAGGGGGTGGGGACAGGAAACAGCAAGTGCAAAGGCCCTGAGGCAGAATGTGCTTCAGGGAGAGGGTCAGTGGGACGGAGCTGAATGAGCAGAGATGGCACCTTAGATAGAACCAGGACCTCAGACACATCCAAATGCCACAAGGCTTAGGAAGTCCCTGAGGACTCCAGCACTGAAAGCCATTTTTTAAAATATTATGAAGTTTTATGAAGTAACATAGTAGTTTATAACATTGTGTCGGCTTCACATGTACATTGTAATTTGACACCTGTATCTGCTATGTTATCTTCACCACCCAAAGTCAGGTTTCCATCCTCACCAAATAATTGACCCCTTAACCATATTTGCCCTCTATTAACCACCATTCTGTTCTTGTAGTCTGAATGTTTTGTTTTGTTTTTCTTACTTGTTTTGTTTCTTTATCTTACACACAGAAGTAATATAATATGGCATTTGCCTTTTTTGCATAATATCCATGTTGTTGCAAGTGGCAGAATTCTTTTTTAATAGCTGACCAGTATTCCCTTGTGTATATAGACCATGTCTTCTTTATTCACTCAACATTCAATTTAAGCTGATTTAAGTTGTTTGCAAACCTGACTCTTGAAAATGATGCTGCAATGAACATAGGGCACATAAATATTTCAATTTAGTATTTTCGGCAGCATGGAGATTTCTCAAAAACTAAAAACAGAAATTCCATGTCATCTAGTTATGTCACTTCTGGGTATTTCCCCAAAAAATACAAAACCTTCAATTCAAAGTCATATATGCACCCCCTAGAAACAACCTACATGCTTCCTGATCATGTAAAGAAGACAATGAAATAATATGCAGGTGTTTTTTTTAAAGACGAAATCCTGCCATTTGCAACACAAGTGGACCTAAACAGTAAGTAGTATGCTTAGCCAAAGGAGCCAGGTAAAGACAAACCCCATATGATCTCACTCACGTGTGGGATATAAAAGACCCAACAAACAAATAAACAAATTAAATAAAAGTAATCTTTTAGACTATAAGACCAAATCAGTGGTTACCAGAAGGGAGTTGGGGGGTGTGTACCAGTAAAGGGGGCCAATGTATGGTGAAAGAAAGGCCTGGACTTTCGGCAGTGAGCTAAGGTAGATGTACACATTGGTTTATAATAATACTTCTCTTGGGCCTCCCTGGTGGTGCAAGGGTTAAGCCTCAGCACTATGAAACTATCTGTGGCCACTGCAGCACGATTTGATCCCCAGTAGGAAGCCCACCCACAGGGCGCAGCAGACCTCTCCTGTCTCCCCACTGCTCCCCTCAGCAGTGTATTTCAGTTGATCCACCTCGGATTCTGGGTGTCTCTGTTTCTGTTTCTCCCCATTCTGTTTCTGGGGAATCCTCTCACCCCCCATACCTCTGGCCTGTACCCCAGTTCTTGTATGCATAAATAAATCTTTAAAAAATAATAATAATACTTACGTAGTGAATGAAACTTACAGGTTATAATGAAATGTTACTTCAATAAAAACTAAAAGAAATAGGGCCTCCCTGGTGGCGCAGCGGTTGAGCGCTGGGTTGCGAAGCTGCCCGCAGCCTCTGCAGCGCCGGTTCGATCCCCGGCTGCTCCCCGGCCACCAGAGGAGGGTCCCACATGGCATGCAGACCTCTCCTGCCACCCGCTGCTCCCCTCAGCAGTGCACTTCGGTCCTTCTGCCTGCTCTGCTCCTCACTCTGGCTCTGGTGAATTCTCTCACCCTCCCGCGCTTCTGACTGTGCCCAGTGCTTTTATAAATAAATAAAATAAATCTTTTAAAAAAACAAAAAACGTTTAAAAAAAAACTAAAAGAAACAAATTTGTGTTTTCATATATTTGTATTTCATGTTAGATCTTCTTTGAAAGTTTGTGTCATTCACTGGAGAGTCATCTAGTGCTGGATGTTTTTTGCAGGGAGGCAGGCCTTTGATTGTTTCAATGTCCTTACACAAGATCAGGCTGTACAGATTTCTCTTGCTGACTCAGTCTTAGAAAATTGTTATGTGGGGGGAAGCAAATATTGTCTAAAAAAATTTAAAAAATGATAAATGTTAAAATAAATAAATAAAAAATAAAGACCCCCTACATCTAAAGAAAATCTAAAAATAAAGAATACAGTGGGAAACAAAAGTGAAAAAAACAAAATTGTTATGTTTCTAAGAATTTTCCATTTCTTCTGGATTATCCAGATTGCTGGCATATAGATACCCACACTAATCTTGTAAGGTTCTTTGTATTTCTGTGTTATCTGTTATAACTTTTCCTCTTTTGTTTCTTCCTCTTTTTTTGCTTTCTCTTGTTTGCTGAGTGAGTCTAAATAGATCAGCGAAAACAAGAATTGATTCTTTGAGATGACTGAATTTTTCAAGGCTCACATTGGCAACTGGAGAAAATCCACACTGAAATCAAAGACACCGTCACTGGAAAAAATCCACACTGAAATCAAAGACACCGTTTCTCTCTTGCTGTCTCTCCAGCAGAGCATGAACAGTGAAGATTCCCAGGGGGTGATGTACGCCCAGGTGAACTGTAGAAGACGCCAGCAGGGAGTGACGGCCTCTCCTTACCCCCTGACGGAGAAACTGCTAGACATGAAGGACAGACAAACCGAAGAGGTCAGGCAGATGGGCAGTTAGTGGGTCCCATCCTCTCAGGCCCCCAGGTGTCACCCACCCCAACCATACTCCTTCCTCTCACTCTCCCCCCTACAGGCTGCCACATCTGACGTCCCCCAGGAGGAGTTGACCTATGCCCAGCTGAACTGTTTGACCCACAGACAGGGGACAGCACCCATTTTCTCCCCATCAAAGGAGTCCCCAGCAGAGCCTAGCGTGTACGCTGCCCTGGCCATTCACTAGCCCGGGAAGGACTGGACCCCACACTACAGGGGCAAGACACAGGGGCCCCGGAAGGCCCAGGAGCTGCCCCCACAGACGCACCCTACTGACCCCAGGCAGCCTGACTCCTAAGACAGACCCCCAGGGGCTCCTGGAACCCTGTAGCAGTCGCCTGACTCCGACAGCAAAGGTAAATAACATCCTCACATTTTGGAGATAAAGCAATGGCTTCCCATTAATTGATGCGTGTGATGACCTCCAAGCAGAAGTGAGAGAATGTTGTAAGCTGAAGGGCAGAAATATTACATTAGAAAATAAAAGCCTAAATATTATATCCAGAATTTTTAAAGAACAGCAGACTATTCCAAATGAAGGTGAAAGGAAAGAAATAATAATGATAACAATAGCTACTAATGAGGACAAACAAAAGTAGAAAAAATAAAGCAAAAAAAAAAATAGTTCTTAAACCATTAACCACACTAACAAATCCTCACCACCATGGCCGAATGCAAAAGAAAGGCAGATGTTACCCTTATCAGGATGCTCACAGACTGTGACCAGAGAACAGAACACAGAGTACACTTTTATGTCAGAAAAGTCATGACTTATTTTTTCTGTTTTCTATGCAAAAATGCATGACGATTTTTCCGACAGCCCAATATTAGCAATGTAGTACCAAAAACCTCAAAAACAGAAGGGTACATAGGACATCTGAGACGCCACATATAGTAAGTATATACAACTTAAAATTTTCCTGCAAAGTAAAACACTGCGTCTGAAAAGATTCACTCATGAACTGTGCCAGACACGTGTGCACCTAGGAAACACACGCACTCACACACACGCACAATGTGCATATCAAGCTGACACAGCCTCTCCTGAGAATGGTGAAGGGATATTTTCCCCAGGACATCGTGCTGTCCAGGAATAAAATGCTGCCAAAACTGACAAAGAAGCTACAACGGGGTGGGCCTCCCTGGTGGCACAGGGGTGAAGTTTCAGAGCTATCAAGTTACTGGCAGCCACTGTAGCACTATATGATCCCCGGCCAGCTGACCCACAGGGCGCAGCAGACCTCTCCTGTCTCCCCGCTGCTCCCCTCAGCAGTAGACTTCAGTAGATCCACCTGTTCTGCTCCCCTCTCTGTTTCCAGTGAATCCTTTCATCACCCCATACCCCTGGCACCTCTGGCCTGCACCCCAATCCTGGTATGCATAAATAAATAAAAACAAATTCTGAAAACAAAAAGAAACTGCAATGGGAACATCACAGGAAGCTCTCCCTTGTGGACTTAGGAGTAGAGTCCTAAACAAATACTTGCAAACAAGATTCTACAATACAGTAAATGAATAATATACCAGGACCGTGCTGGCACGCTTTTTTTTTTTTCAGGAATACATTGTTAATATCATAATTAAAAATTTATTAAAAGAATTAAACACTAAAATAAGAAATAGAAGAAATGATCCTATCAATACATGCGAAGCTTTCGATAACACACAGACACCAATGTATAATGGAAAACAAACTCAGAAATGAGGCGATTTCCGATCATTTACCAAGGCACCTTTTAAAAATCTCTCACAGAACTAAATTCTTAAAGTAAAAACCAGAAATTTCCCTGCCTGTGACGTAGGCTGCCCTGGACCGTTGGCTCCTAGGCGTGTGCCTGTGGTGAGGCTGCAGCCACAGCAGCTGCTGGGGAGCGCGCCGGGTAGCCCTCAGCCCTGGAGGCTGCACTCTGGGGTCTAAAGTCAAGAAAAGGAGGGCCTCCCCGGTGGTGCAGCGGTTGAGTGCTGGGTTGCGAAGCTGCCCATGGCCTCTGTGGCGCCGGTCTGCTCCCCGGCTGCTCCCCGGCTGCTCCCTGGCTGCTCCCCGGCCACCACAGGAGGGTCCCATATGGCGCGCAGACCTCTCCTGCCGCCCGCTGCTCCCCTCAGCAGTGGACTTCGGTCCTTCTGCCTGCTCTGCTCCCCGCTCTGGCTCTGGTGAATTCTCTCACCCTCCCGCGCTTCTGACTGTACCCAGTGCTTGTATAAACAAAACAAACAAACAAATAAATAAATAAAACATGCTTCTATAAAAATAAATAAATAAATAAAAATAAAGTCAAGAAAAGGAGCTGCCACCGCTGTTGCTGTTTCTAGAGATGTCGCTTACAAGGAACTTAAACACCTGTTGGATTCCAAAGATGTTACCTTCATTGCTGGTAGAGATGGGGTTCCTGAGCATGCAAAAATCCCTGGGTCTGTCAATAGGAAATTTTTGTTACAGCGTTCAGGAGAGCACATTTATATGCCAGTGGCTGAGGCAGGGAACGGTCTGTAGATGAACCCAAAGACTCGGAAGAGAAGCACAATGAGGTAAAGAGCCCAAGCTGATGGCGTTTCCTTGCTTAGCCAGAGTGAGAAGCAAGAAGGTGAAGGTGTGGATACAGCGAGACCCCAGGCGCCAGCAGCGCTCAGTACGAAGCCAGAAGGTGGAAGGGGTGGGTAACCTGTGAATTTCCAAAGAAGGAACAGGGAAGGTGAATTTTGGAATCAAGCAGTTTCTCTGCATGTATACAGGCGGCCTAGGATAGCAAAATGAGCAAAGAGAATGTCTGCTTCTACTCGGGAGGGCACTCAGTGTTACGCTCTGATGGGTGGAATAAACTGTTACAGGTTACAAAAGTGTGCACATGGAAAATCTAAAACAATGTATAAAAATCTGTCATTCTCATTTGAAAGGATGTGTCAGATCTCACTGGATCTGTGAACTCTAGCAAATGATGGACCATTGCACAATCTACCACCTGCTTCTAGAAGCAGAGGAGAAAGAGGACCAGACCAGAAGCTATTCAAGACATAATGGCTCAAATTTCCCCAAACCTGGCAAAAGGCACAAACCTATATCTTCATAAAACAAGTGACCCCAAGACAGGAAAAGCCCCAGTAACCCACGCCAGATGCATCATAACCTACAAACACAAGTCGGATTTGGGGCTGCAGTGAGCAGAAAGGTGCCTTACCGCAGAGGGGGCCACTCAAGTGCCCCCGGCTTCCATCACTCCCAGCGTCCCTGGGGGTTGGGCACCACTACCCTGAATTTCCATCACTGCTGGGCGAGGGGTGAGCCTGGGCCCACGGGCAGACCGAGGGTGGCGGTGAGTCCCACAGAGATTTGGTTTAGACACGCGTGTTCCCCATCCACCCACCCTGTCCCCGATGCCTCCCCATCACCCACAGCCTCAGGGCCTGGTCACATGGGCACAACGTGATTTATGCGGTGTGCTGTTCACAACCCCACTCAGGGAGCCTAAGAGAAATCTGAGAGAGATGCCCACAGTGAGCAGACCTGTGGAGGATCGGCAGGATAGTACAACTGTGGTGGCAAAGGAGCCAGCAAGGTGTTAAAATGGACAGACTCGGGCTAGTAGCAATGGCTGGCCTGCACTGTCAGGGGGCTGGAGGGACCAAACTGGACAGAAGACCAGGACACCCAGGAAGGAGGTGCCATGGGCAGATGTACAGGGGTGGGCCTGACACCTTTTTAGTCAGCCACTGAGGCGCCCCAGAGAGCCCACTGTGGAGAGGACCTGGACACCAGCAGGTGGCTGGGCCAGCGGGCTCAGCAGTCTCTGGCCTATGCTGCCTAGCATCGACCCGTGAGGCACAGATGCAGGTGCCTAGAAGAGGTGGGTCCCAACTGCCTCTCACCAAGAATGATTGGCTGCAGAAACAGAGGCTCTCCATTGCTGCGCAGCGGTCAGCGCTGTGTCCTGAACACCCTACCCTTCCCAATGGGAGGGACCAGACGTGTGTTTGCAGGCTGATGTTCCTGGTGGGCTGGGTGTAACGGATCCTAGCCAGTAGGTGTGTGTGCCCGTGCCTTTTATCAGCTTTGGCCAAGGTGGAAATTCGTGGCACTATCACCAACACCAACATGTAAGCGTAGCCGTCATTCCTGACGCGTCCACGGCGACCTTTCACTCAATCTGCTCTCCCCACACCCACAACGAAGCTAACAGAGATCGGATTCCTACATGTGGAAGCTCCTTTATAGAGTCCTCAGGATCTCTGCCACTCGCGATTGTGTGGACTGGGAGTAAGACAGTTCTGTTCCTTCTCTCTGTGCTGGGACGCCTTTGTTCCTGTCTCATCGACTGCGCCAGGTGTCACGAGAGCATCATTGCCTGTTCCCAGCCGCAGGGGGATGTATTCAGCCTGACCTTAGCCAAACAGATGATAAATGCTCTCTGTCTGGCTCATGAAGTTCCCTTCTGATCCTGCGTAGCTGAGCCTTTTGTTGAGTGGCGTCTGTGTGCATATATTTATAGACTGACGTGGGTTTTCTTTCCTACTTTCTTTTCTTATTCTGCTAACATGGAGGTTACTTTTGTGGACTTCCACATCTCAGGATCAATCCCACTTGCCTGTAATGACATATTGATGTCTTATTGCTAATTAGACCTGATTTTCATGCTGGCATATTAAGATTGTCCATTGTTGGTACGGCTGGCTTTCATTGCTGCTATTTTGGTGAGGATTTTGCATCAATGCTGTTGAGAGACATTGGTCTTCCGCTCCTTGTCTGAGTGGCGAGGTGTCTGTCTGAGTCTGGAGTAATGCTTGTTCATACAAATCTCGCTGCATGTTCCCTTCTGTATTTCCTTGAAGAGACTGTGTTATCTCCTCCCAAATGTTTACTAGTCTGTGCCGGTGAGACCATCCTGGCAGGGAGTGTCTTTGCTTGAAAGTTGTTTTAACTGCAAATTCAATTTATTGTTTTCAGAATATTCAGATCATTCCACCTGGAGTGAGTTTTTATAGCTTGTATCTTGCAAGAACTAGTCCATTCTGTTTCAGATCTCAAATTTGCCGACACAGAGTTGCTTCTAGCATTCTTTCCTCACCCCCTTGATGTCAGTGGGGTTGTGGCGATAGCCCACCACTTGCTCCAGGCTTGGCAAATGTGTCTTCTCTATTCTATGGGGAGTCTGGCCAGAGCTTTGTCAACTGAGTCTTTTTAAAGACTCAACTTTGGATTTCACTGATTTTTCTTTTTTTTCTGTTTTCAGTTTCATTGATTTCTGCTCTTTAGCTTATTTTCAGGTGAGTTTGCTCTCCTTTTTTTGTGTGTGTCGCAAGGTAGAAGCTTAGATTAGTCATTTGAAACCATCCTTTTTAAAAGATGAGCATTTGCTGCTCTCACTTTCCTTCTAAACCTGGCTGTACAGCATCCCACAGAGTTTAGTGTGATGTATTTTCATTTTCATTCAGTTAAAAATAACTTTCTAATTTTCCAGGGTTCCTCTTTGCCCCGTGGGTTATTTGGAAGTGTGTTGTTTAATTTCCAAAAAATTAAAAATGCCTAAGATACCTTTCTAGTTAATATATTTTAGCTTAAATTCCTTTAGAGTCAGAAAATACGTGTGATATTCCTTTAGGTGTGGTAAACGTTGCCAAGGATATGAACTATCTTGGCCAGCAGTCCACATGCTCTTGAAACAAATGTGCCGTTTGCTGTGGCTGTGTCTTCTCTGTGTCAATTAGTTTGTGTAAGAGGGAGACAGATGGGTCAGTGTGCATGATAGGCAATGAGATGCCAGCATCACGAGGCTGAGGGGCGGAAGGAAGCAGCCAGGAGCTCAGCAGGACAGACAGTCCCCAGAAGCAGAAAAGGAGAAGGACATACTTTCTTGCCACGGAGTAACAAAAGCAAGCAGCCCTGCCGATCCTCAGCGTCAGCCACAGAGCTGGTTGTGGTTCTGACCTGCAGGACAGTGAAAGATTGCATCTGTGCTGGCCGCAGTCACGGAGGAGTTGTGTTAGCTGCGGCAGCCACGGGAGACCAGCATGGCCGTGCTGGCGCTCCTGGATAATCTCACAGTGCAGCTTTGTCCTTCTACTCTTTTTTTTTTTAGAGGCATGTTTTATTTATTTATTTGTTTGGTTGGTTGGTTTTTTGTTTATACAAGCACTGGGTACAGTCAGAAGCGCGGGAGGGCAGGAGAATTCACCAGAGCCAGAGCGGGGAGCAGAGCAGGCAGAAGGACCGAAGGACACTGCTGAGGGGAGCAGCGGGCGGCAGGAGAGGTCTGCGCGCCATGCGGGACCCTCCTCCGGGGGCCAGGGAGCAACCGGGGATCGAACCGGCGCCGCAGAGGCCGCGGGCAGCCTCGCAACCCAGCGCTCAACCGCTGCGCCACTGGGGAGGCCCAGTCCTTCTACTCTTAACCTATTCACAGGATTGTATCAAAGTGAGCTTCTTGTACTGCATTTAGTTGGGATGGGTGACAGCTGTGCTTGGGGACTGAGTTATTCTATTCTTGGAGGGGAGCCGCAGGGAAACAGGAGAGGTCTGCTGCACCATGTGGGTAGTTGCCCAGCCGAGGACTGAATTCGTGCTGCAGAATCTGCACACAACTTCACGGTGCTGTGCTCAACCCCTTGCACCACTACAGAGGCCCAATTCTTTGAGTCGCAGAGATTCATCTTTTGGTTTCTATTTTTGAGATATCGAACTGCATTTGAAGTACTTCCTAAGTTTCGTTTCCCAGCTCGCCAATCTTCAGGTTCCGTTCTCGGATGCCTATTATGAAACAGCTCTTAGGCGTCCTTTCATTTGATGAAATTTTATCTATGAAATTTCACAGCACTTTCCCCCTAAACGCCTCTTCCTGCATCGAGGCTGCCATCTTTTCCTGTAACTGCCTGAGGATTCGAGCATGCTTACTTTCAAATCACTTTTTTGTCGTCACTCTCGCCTTGCTTGAGATTTCCCAGAGAAAAGGTCATTGTCACCTCCGTGTGAAGGCTCACAGGGGAAGCACCTGCTCAATTTGACTGTAAGAAAACGCTTTGCTCTGATTTTGAGTAAAATGCCCTGCTGCAGGCCTGGTAAGGACTCACAGGCCAGAGGGAGAGCTCTGCGCAACAGAGATGGCTCAGGTGTGACGGAGGACAGTGCAGAGAAACACAGTGCAGCCACAGGAGCAAGGTTTGTGGAAAGAAAACCCAGTCCCAGGTCAGGAGGGGGGTGTTCTTCCTTCTGAGAAGTGGGGCCCGGCCCTCTCAGTCTCTGCCCACGCCATCTATCCCTAGAGTCCTCCTCCTGTGAGCCTCCCTGGCCACTCCGGGCTCAGGCACACTGGACCGGCCTCAGCGGCTCCTCTCCTGTGCTCACGTCCACCACCAGTCACGCCACAGTGCCCGAGCCCTTCATCACACCTCCTGTCCATCACTGGACTCAGGTCTGCCTCCTCACATCAGCTTCCTGCCTGGACCTCACTTCCGGCACCCTTCACTCTATCTCAGGCCTCTCACCTCCTCCCAACCACTGTTCGCACGACTCACTCTGCTCTGAGCCTGTGCTGCCCCCATCTTCCCTGGGGTCCCCCCTCAAGCAGACCTCACATTCAAGGCTGAGAACCATTAGGCTTTGGCGAAAACTGCAGCCTGGCGAATACAGCCCCGCCAAACATCAGCGCCCAGCGACAGCCACCACCCCACAGAGAGCTCTGCCTCTGTCAGCTGTGCCCTCAGCCACACTGATCAACCAACTCCCTTCCAATCTGAGCAGACACCTCCTCTCTCACCCCACCCAACTGTGACTCTGTTATGGGTGTCTGTAGGGGTTCCAAGAGAAACCCCATAAACCACTCGCACTGCTGATCCACACGCCATCCAGAGCCCTCCTCACCGTCTCCACACGAGGAGGCTGCTGCTCACCATCTCCCCTCTGCCTGACTCCAGACAGCGCCTGCGCTCAGGACCCTGGGACCAGGCCCAGCCCACTGGCCGCTCTCCAGCCTCAGCGCAGGCAGGGCCGCTCTGGTCAGGGCTCAACCCCACCTCTAAGCTAAGCCCTGCCCAGGCCAGGGCCGCTCACCCCAGAAGGACCCCCAACCAGGACCACAGAGTGCAATGTCCACAGATGGTTACTCAATCCCACGGTCCCATTTTCGTCTTTCTTCCAGCTGGCATCTCACAGCAAGACAATGACAGAACACTCGCACTGAACATGCCACGTGTGTCCCCCTCCACCTGAGCCCGGGGTCCAGGGACAGCCTCTGTCACCACAGAGGGACGTGCTAACTGCTCAACAGACTCACAGGGTAGCTGATGAAAGAAGGGAAGAAAATTTGCATTTACAGAAACTCAGGAAAGGGAAGTGGCTGCCGGGTCACACAGCTTCCAAAAGAGGCTAAGGCAGACTTGACAGCCTCAGGGCTGGCCTCCTGCATCCTCGGCCCCTGGTCTGGGCCCGGGTCCCTCTCGGATGAGGGTTTGTCACGAGGGGGAAGCAGAGCCTATGGGGTCTGAAACTCACACCTGCTCTGGGAGGTCCCACAGCCCCTGTCTCCTGGGCAGGTTCTTCAGGGAGAACAGAGGGGCTGTTCCCCACCCTGTGCAACCACAGATGAGGAACTCCTACTTGCCACATGGACATAGAACTGGTCACATCCTCTGCATCTGTTTGTGCTGCCAGGCTCGGTCTGCCCTGCCGGGGTCTGTGGACTCACATCGTCTACACCGCTGGAGACCATGGGAGGCAGCACCCCCACCCTGACCCTCATGGCCCTTCTCTGCCTGGGTGAGCTTCAGGGCATGAGGAGGGGTGGCTTCTTCCTCCCATATCTGGCCTGAGAGTCTCCAGGACTCAGGGGCTCCGTGGGGGCAGGACGCTGGGGAGGGGAGATGTGCTCAACTCCGGATCTGAGCAGCCCTCAGGGCCCAGTCAGGCCTAGAGCTCCCCTGTGGGGGGACACGTCTCACAGGCCTCTCTTCCAGGGCTGTGTCAGGGCCCACGGGACCAGGTCCAGGCAGGTGAGTGCTCCCCACACCTCCTGCCTCAGCCCAGGGCCCCCGGACAGTGGGGGGAGCACAGTGGTGTGGGTGATGGGACCTGCCTGGAGGGGCTGAGTGACGGCTGGGGAAACTGAGGGAGAGGCAGCCCGACACTCACCGGACTCCTTTGCAGGGACCCTCCCCAAACCCGCCATCTGGGCCGACCCAGGCCCCGTGGTCCCCGTGGGGAGCCCTGTGACCATCTGGTGTCAGGGGTCTCAGCAGGCGCAGGACTACTATCTGCACAGAGAGGGGGGCTCTCGAACCAAGATGAAGAGACCTCAGAACTTCAGGAACAGGGTCAGTTTCCTCATCGAATCTATGGATGCCCGCTGGGAGGGATCGTACTGGTGTCATTATCGAAGCCGTCATGACAGTTCAATGGGGAGCAATTACCTGGTCCTGAAAGTGACAGGTAAGAAGGAGCCGGGTGTCTTCCCTTCTCGGGCCCCTTCACCAGCAGAAGGGAAGGAGTGTGGGCTCAGGGGACCTCCCCCCTCAGTGTCTACACCCGAGACATCGGGGTGCTGGGCCCCTTTCCACAGCTTCCTCCTTCTTCCTCAGGAGCGTACCCTGCACCCTCCCTCTCAGCCCAGCCCAGCCCTGTGGTGGCCTCAGGAGGGACCGTGACCCTCGCCTGCAGCTCACAGGGCACATCCGGCACTTTCTATCTGCTGAAGGAGGGAGGCGCTGACCCGCCCCAACCCAAGAGCGGGTCTCGGTACCTTCAGGGGAGACACCAGGCCCTCTTCCCCTTGGGCCCCTCGAGCCCTTCCCACGGGGGCACCTACAGATGTTACCATAATTCCTACTCCTACCCCGACCTGTGGTCCGCGTCCAGCGCCCCTCTGCGTCTCCAGGTCACAGGTGAGGCTGCACCTCTTGTCACGTCCCTCCAGGCCCAGGGACTGGCTAAGCCCGTGTCCCGGGGAGCCGGGGGTGACGTGGGGCCAGTGACGTGGACTCCTGGGTCCAGATCACAGCGCAGGGGTGTGGGAGGGCCAGTGAGAACTCACCGCTGTCCAGTGGGCAATGTGGGGTGACCCTCGGTGCCACTGTCCCCGTGTCCCCAGGAGCGTACGGGGAGCCCTCCCTGTCGGCGCAGCCGGGCCCCCTGGTGCCGTCTGGACACAGCCTGACCCTGCGGTGCGGCTCGGGGGCCGGCTTTGGCAGCTTCGCTCTGACCAAGGATGAGGGGCGCACGGGCCCCCAGCGTCTGGACGGGCAGCACAGCCCCGACTTCCCCCTGGGCCCTGTCGCCCGCACCCACGGGGGCCAGTACAGGTGCTACGGGGGACACAACCTCTCCCACGTGTGGTCGGCCCCCAGCGCCCCCCTGGACATCCTGATCGCAGGTGAGGAGCCGCCCTGGGTCCTGATGCGCTGTTGAGGCCCGGGCCCAGGTCACCTTGGGGGTGATGTGTCCAGGGGGAGGGTCCTGGCAGAGGCCGAGATGGACAGTGGTCGAGGGAGAGCGAGCGAGAAAGGGGGGTGAGGGGCACAGACATAGAGAGACCCACACAGGAGTGGAGGACCGGGCGTCCCAGAGGCCCCGGACCAGGACAGGGGCCCTCGGCGCAGGGTCAGGTGTCTGGGGTTGGGGGGGTCTCTAACACCAAACCTCCCCCCAGGAATGGACCCGAAACCCTCCCTCTCAGCCCAGCCCGGGCCCACCGTGTCCCCGGGGGAGAACGTGACCCTGCAGTGTCGCTCTGACGCCCGCTCGGACACCTTCTACCTCTCCAAGGAGGGGTCGCCTGCGTCCCCCCAGCGCCTGCGTCTGCAGGACACAGCTGCCCCCTCTCAGGCCCTCTTCACCTTCAGGGCTGTGACCTCAGCCCACGGGGGCACCTACAGGTGCTACAGCTCACACAGCGCCTCCCCCTTCCTGCTGTCACACCCCAGTGACCCCCTGCGGCTGCAGGTCTCAGGTGAGGAGCCCCCACCCGCCTGTGTCTTTGTTGTCTCTGCAGGGTCCTGTCCCAGAGAGCGTGGGCTGGGAGGGAAGTAAAGGCAGGAGAGGGGAATCAACCTGAATGTGAGGGAATTACCACCTACGGGATGGAGAAAGCCTGACACCCCTCCCCCCAACACAGAGACCAGCCTAGAGGTGACCAACTGTGGCCTCCAGCCCACAGGCACCAAGACCACCTGCTCTGGATGGCCTATTCCCCGGGGGCTGGGACTGGCATAGACGAGGGGACATAGAGCTCTAGGGGCTCAGGGCTGGCGGGTGCCTGGTGGGGCAGAGGAAGATGGTGCCTGCCCCCCCACCACGCAGCAGCAGGCTGGATTGTGCAAATGGCAGCCCCTCTTCGCTCCCTGCGTGATCCCCAGGGTTCCGTGATGAGGCGGGTGCGGATGAGTGAGGGTCTGTTGTGGAGGAGCGCAGTTCTGGAGTTGGCTTAACCACTTCCTGAGATAAAGGCCCAAGAAACTGCTTCTCACTGGAACCCATTTCTCAGGCACATAGACCCCGAAGGCTGCTTGGACAATGTGGAAGGGTGTTCTGGGGCCTGGGGGTGTCTGACCCTTCTATAAGCTCAAGGGGTCAGCCTTCCACAGAGAAGAGGGCGATTAGGAAGAAACAGGCTGGAGTCCCACCCTGGTTCCAACCCCAGCTCTCTACTCCACGTGGGATCTGAGGGGCATGTCCCTCTCCAGGGCCGGGAGCCTCCTGCCATCTCCCCAGGTGACAGCCCTTAGCCTGGGGCCTAGTCTCCACAGCCTCCTACCTGCCTTCCCCAGACACGGGCCACACGCCCCCATGGGCTCCTCAGTCCATGGCAGGTACAGGCCTCTGCAGAGGAAGGTAATACCTGGGGAACTGGGAGTGAGGACCGAGATTCAGGGATGTCTTTGAACTGCTCTGTCTGAAGGACAAGGGGACAGCATAAAATCATTATTGAAAAAGTGAACCCTCAGGGGCCTCCCTAGTGGCGCAGGGGTTAAGCACCGCACTATGAAGCAATTGCAGCCTCTGCAGCCTGAGTTTGATCCCCAGCCAGTCAGGGAGCAACCCACATGGCGCAGCAGACCTCGCCTGTCACGTCCACTGCTCCCCTCAGCAGTATGTTTCAGTCTGCCTGTTCTGCTCCCCACTCTGTCTCTGGTAAATCCTCTCACCCCCCGCACCTCTGACTTGTGCCCCGGCTCTTGTATGCATAAATATCTCTTAAAAAAAGAAAGAAAAAAGTGAACCCTCAGTCCCGGTTCCAGTCCCAGACCTGCCGCATACAGGTTGGTGACCTGGGCAGGTTTTGGTTTTTTTTTTTTGGCATAAAACTGGGGTACAGGCCGGAGGTGCCAGGAGTGAGGATTCACCAGAGACAGAGCGGGGAACAGAACAGGCAGATCGACTGAAATACACTGCTGAGGGGAGCAGCAGGGAGAAAGGCGAGGTCTGCTGCGCCACGTGGCTCAGCTCCCTGGCCAGGGATCAAACTCAGGCCACCAACCCCTAGGCCCATGAGCTCTCTGAGCTCAGTCTCCTCATGTATACTTGGGGGGGGAGCGGAGGAGGGGAAGAGGAAGCAGATCCAGCAAGTGCCTGCACACTCAATTCAAGGGGTCCTGGCTCTCTCATCACCTCACAGGTGCTCAGGGTCTAAACGGGTGGTACCTGAAAGTTCTGACTGGGGTGTTGGTGGTGGCCTCCCTCCTGCTGCTCTCCCTCCTCCTGCTTCTCCGACAGCAGTGTCAGGGTGAACACAGGAAGTCAGGTCAGTGGGGTGAGTAGAGGATGGGGTGACCCAGGTACGTGAGGGGGCGTGGCTCTCCCAGTCACGTGAGGAGGGTGGGCCGGGAACCAGGCAGAGAAAAAAGATGAGAATATCGGCTAGAAAATTTTCTAGTATTTCCCCATGAGAAAATCTGGAGAGACTAAATGTAGTGTACACTAAGCAGTTTAGAGGATTCTTTTGACTCCTTTAAAATGTAACCACCGGTTTTGTTTACTGTTTGAAAGTTCTGTAGTGACTTCTGCAAGGCCATGGCGGGAGGAAGGGGTTTGTATTTTTTATCCTCTGCAGTCTCCACGCAGTCAGATTCCGATTTCCAACTTCCCACAGAGGCTGCCGCGTCCACACCCAAGGACAGGGGCCTGCAGGACAGGTGAGACCTCTGCCAGTGACCCCCCCCATTCCCAAACACCCACCCCGCAGGCCATTAATGCCCCCTCTACTCCCCAGTTCAGGCCCAGCTGCTGGCATCCAGGAGGAGAACTTGTGTAAGTGGATGAGGAGACTGTCCTGGGGAGGAGCCAGGGAACCAGAGACTGCGGGAGACGTAGGATTGGGCTTGGAGGTGACAAGGCAATAACCAACCCTGTGTGGCCCTGGCCACGTCACTAATCCTCTCTGGGCTTCTGCTGAGCTCTCAGGAACCTCAGCTAAGGTGGGACCCTTTGCTCTGTCCTCGCCAGATGCTGTCGTACAAGACCCACCGCCGGAGACCAGGCAGCTGGACCCACAGGTGAGCTCCCTCGGCCCAACCAGCACCCTGCCCCTTCTTGTCCAGCCACCGCACACAGCAACCACTCCTCCACCCTCACCCCTCACAGCAAGCAGGGGCACGGGATCCGCCTTTCTGGAGGAATGCTCTCTGGGTGGTTGCACCCCACTCCCTCTGCTGGTCTCCCCAGCCTCAAGCTGCTGCATGCTCAGGCCCAGTGGCGGGGCTGGAGGTTATGGTGGACAGGCAGTGTGCCTTCTGCGACTGACCTGCACGGAGGTCCCTAAGCAGCTCAGCCCCACCTGCCCGGCCTCTTTCCTTCTGTCCAGTGGGTGAGGATGGGCCCATCCACCAGGGCATTCGTTCTGCCCACACTCGCCAGTAGGTCAGACGCTCTTGCCAGGCAGCAGACTCAGAGAGCCGACCACCAGTGCCAGCTGCCGCCACAACAGAACCAAGGAAACCAGACTCCCCTCCCCCGCCCCCCCCACCCTGCCCCAGCCCCTTCGACAAAACCCCCTAGGACTACATCTCTTCCTCTCCGGCTTATCCCACCCCATACCTAGACCCCCACTCTCCCCTTGATCTAGGCTGCTGCACCTGAAGGCCCCCAGGAGATAACCTACGCTCAGCTGAACTACTTGATACTCACACAGGAAACATCATCCCTACCCTCCCCCTCAGAGCTGCCCGGGCATGGGTCCGTGTATGCTGCCCTGGATGCCCACTAGCCCCCATGGACATGATCACCAGGAGCCTTTGGACTGCGAGATGCCGACTGCTTCCAGGGCCTACCATAGGAGGCTGCCTCAAGACTCTAATTACACATGGAAGCCTGGGGGTGAGGGGAGAGGCAGCAGTGCCAACCGAAGCAGTGGACTTGGCAGAGGGGAACATTTGTGAAGCTGGGCTGAGTTGACCTCAAAGCCCAAGGCCAGGCCAGAGGGCAGCTGCAGTTGCTACGGGTTACAAGGGTTTCTCATTTCCTGAAACGAAGCTGCTTCCTCCCTTGCCAGTTACAGCTTCTCAAGGTAGAAAGGCAGCCCACTTCCCTCCAGACCCAGCATCGTCAACCCCAAAGGCAGGGCCCCCAGGCGCTGTAAAAGTCCCTACCATAGGTGACTGAGGGGGAGGGCTTACCTGCCTCCCACCAACAGAACCCAAATCCCAAGATGAAAACAGGAAGTGTGACATCAACCACACCACAGTGGGCTTTGCTACCTGGCTGTATTCTGTGCCATACTCCCCGCCAATAATACTATTAAAAGTTCATTCCACCGGCAACTACAGGTGAGTTGTCTCCGTAACAGCTGTCAGCCCCCTCCCCAAGCACACCCTCCCCTAGGGTTAGAGTTGACGCTGACCTCTACTTCCTCTGCTGGAAACAGAGTGGCCTTTGAGAACTGATTTGTGGTTTTGGCTCTAAGAACTTCCACAGAACACAGCTGCTCTTTGCTGTAATAACACTCAGGCCAGAATTAGCTCAAGTAACTGGTCAAGGAGGTAGCGAGCGGCCTTCCCATCCCCGGGGCTGAAGTTCAAAGCCTGGGGGAGCAGAATCAAGGAGGGAGACACACAAGAAACACCGATTCCAAAACACTGACAACATGTTTACTGTCTGACTGCAAACTGAGACATGCCGCCAGCCCAGGAGGGCGTGGGACCCTTAATCCTCCTCCTCATCGTCACCGGCGCCAGCCCCACCCTGGCCCTTCTTGGCATTCTTCCTCTTCACGCGGCCCGGGCGGCCACCCCCATAAGGCGAGCGGAGGGAGAAGTCGATGTGCTTCTGGGAGTCCAGGCGGACAATGAAGGACGGGATGTTCACCACCTGCTTGCGGACCCTGGAGGGGAGACGGCAGGTGAAGGGACAGGAGGTAGGACCCTGCTCCTGAGACCCCTCTTCTTCAGTTGTGCTGTGACCGTAAGGCTGCTGCTTACACAGCAGCACTGAACCTGAAGCAATACCAGAAAGGGCTCCTGACAGCATACAACTAGAATGCTTCATAAAGCTTCTCATTCATTTCCAGAGGGGCAAAGAAGTTCAGACACAACCCACAGAAGAGGCGAGGTGGCAGCGTATACCCCCGATGTGATTTTCCAATATTCTGAATGGTGCCATCATTAGGTGCAGTTCCGCTCTCCTTGGAGCAACCACCCAAGACTAGATTCTATGAAAGCAGCTCGTCAGGCTCCTGCCTGCAGGTGGCAAGGCGAGGACTGAGGCAGAAATCCAGTATGCAACTGCCCACATGCATCACCTCCCACCTCGGCAAAGAGCAAGCCATTTGGCCTGACTGGCCCCCTGGAACCAACTACCCTGCCCAAGCCTGCAAGCTCCCAGTCCCTGGCATTTTAACTTCAGGCTTTGACAGGTGACTTCATCAAGTGAGCCCAAGAGCTAACTGAACCCCAAGTCACCTGAGGCTCAGCAACTCCAAGGGCTATTACCTGTCTTGCTGATTGCCCAGAAGCCTGGCAGGCAGAAGCCTTCGCAAGGTGTACGACTTAAGCCGCATTGACCCTTGCGCTGGGCCATGGGGGGAGTGGGGAAAGTCTGCTCCCACAACCCCCACAAGCTGTTTGTGGGAGTCAATCTGTACCCTCAAGGTGAGCTCATGCCTTTGTCACCTCCAAGGGCTGCACAGGAGACGGAGAACAACAGGCTTAGCAAAGTCAGGCATGAGGGGAGGGGAAGGACTCAGGGAGCCCACCAGCGGTGGTACCTGATATGGCGCTGGCGGATCAGCACACGGGCATGGTGGATGGACTTCGCCAAGCCCAATTTGAAGACCTGGGTTTGCAGGCGCCTCTCCAAGAAGTCCTCGATCTTCAGGCCCAGGATGTAATCCAACTTCATCTTACCCTCATCCAGCACCCCAATCCTGACAAGCCGCCGCAGCAGGGCATTGCCTGGGGAGAAAAGCATACACCTAAGCTGATCTCACTTTTTAGGTTCAAATCCTCCGCCTTTCATCAGAGCAGAGTGGGGGAAATAGGTAAGAGCTAACACTCATAATATGGGACTTGAGGCACTGGTCACTGTGACCAAAAACCTCACACAACTTAAAGCAGGCTGGGACGGCTACTTCCAGCTTATCCAGGTCAGGTGTCTCATCTGAAACAAGAACCTTCTCCAGTCATTAGGAGAGTAAAGGAGACAATCTTAGGGCCTGGGGCCTCCCCGGTGGCGCAGCGGTTGAGCGCTGGGTTGCGATGCTGCCCGCGGCCTCTGCGGCGCCGGTTCGATCCCCGGCTGCTCCCAGGCCAACGGAGGAGGGTCCCACATGGCGCGCAGACCTCTCCTGCCACCCGCTGCTCCCCTCAGCAGTGTACTTCGGTCCTTCTGCCTGCTCTGCTCCCAGCTCTGGCTCTGGTGGATTCTCTCACCCTCCCGCGCTTCTGACTGTACACAGTGCTTGTGTAAACAAAACAAAAATAAACAAATAAAACATGCCTCTATTAAAAAATAAATAAATAAATAAAGGAGACAATCTTAAATCTAAGTGCTACTGATATTAAACTATCACTTCCATGACAAAGCAGAGTGGTTTACAGGTCGTAGTCTGGAGTAGATAACCGTACAGCAGATGCAGCAACCTTTCTTCCAACCACCTCGGGATCAGAAGGCCATGCTATTTATTTGCCCAATGTCATCCACAGCCGATAGCTCCTGACCACTGGAGTCTGGACTGCCCCAGAACCCCAGGGGCAAACCCTCCAGCCCCAGACTCTCATCACTGGGTTTCTCATCACCACAAGCTAATGCTAATTAACACCTTCATAGTACAACAAATATCAAAAACTATTTTCTCCTTAGAAAGGAAGAGCTTCTGGGGCCTCCCCGGTGGCGCAACGGGTTGAGCACAGCGCTGTGAAGCTGTCCGCAGCCTCTGCAGCACGGGTTTGATCCCAGCTGGCCGGCGAGAATCCCACATGGCGCAGCAGACCTCTCCTGTCTCGCCGGCTGCTCCCCTCAGCAGTGTATTTCGGTTGTCTGCCTGTTCTGCTCCCCGCTCTGTCTCTGGTGAATCCTCTCACACTCCCACACCTCTGGCCTGTACCCCAGCTCTTGTATAAAAATAAATCAATCTTTCTAAAAAAAAAAAAAGAAAGAAGAACTTCTCTTTAATTTATATATCACCTTCATTTATAGCAAAAAGAACATCTAAGCAAACTCCATGAAAAAGGACCCACATTTACTGGGCACTTGAATGTGAAGGAAACCTGACTGTGAAGACAGACAGCAGAGTTAATGGGAGATCAAACCAAAACGAACTCTTTCCCAATGTCAAGTCATAACACGGCTTCGCTTTTTCACACTATTGAACGCTGAACCTGAGACAAAGAGATACACCTGTCCCAAAACTGGGAGAATGAACTTCATACGTGTCAAGAGTGCTCAACAGGACAAATGCTGTTAGCTCATCTTAAAAGAAATATGAGACGCCGGGAAACTTCTTCTTTCCTAAGTAATACACATTAGTGGGAAACGCTGGATTCAAGGATGCACCAGTGAGCAGACAGAGCTTGCAGGCTCATCCTTTCTGTTCCAGGCTAATGATTTCATTTCCTAAAAAAGACTAGTATACCTGAGGGTGCCGCCTTCTCCCTTGCAACTTCCACTTCTACCCTGGAAACCACAAATCCTTTGACACTTGCCCTGCATCACCTCTGCCATGGGGCTAACTATGAAGCCATAGACATACTTGAGTACGTTTCATTGTGAATAGCTCAATCTTCAAAGTCTTTCCTCATAGTTATGCTCTGCTCCCTGTAGACTCTGGAAACTTCCCTGTTCTTTATAATGTCAATTTTTGTTCTGGTAAGTCATGCACTGATTCCCCATCTCAAAGCAGGAGAGAAGACTGTCAGCAAAGAAGTCTAGAAAGACTATAAATTTTCTATGTCTATAAACACACATATATATAAAAAACCAAGTTAGAAAAAGAACTTAAGCTCCTATATAAGATCTGTATTCCCTCCCAAAGTCTTCACCTGAATGTTTTGTTCAGGTCTTGTTAAATGTCACCCAAATGTCCCACATTATGAGAGCAGGCAAATACACATACCCAAACTCCTTCACCCTGTTATTTTCATCCAACATTCCAGAAATCCCAGTATCTATTCCTACCATTAACAAGACACACAAGAAGTATAATTGCTTTCCCAAAACTTTTTGGCATTGTTAGTTCTTGTCAACAATAAATTATAGCCCAGTGTTTGGGTAAAATAGAGGTGTAAGCACATAAGGTATGGGGCAGCGACGGACTAAGCCTCTTGTCCTACCCCAGTCTGTGAAACGCCACTTATTCTATGTATCTCTGACCACTGAAAAGTAAGTCTGGGAGACCACCGTGGCCCTGCACTTCATCCCTTTCCTCTCACGCACCTTCAAACAGACGCCGTGGATCTTTCTCGTCCAGGGTCAGCAGCTCCCGAGCAGCTTTGCGGATCTTGGCCAGGGTAAATTTGACCCTCCAGACTTCACGTTTGTTCCTTAGTCCATACTCGCCTGAAACGAGAGCGGGTGGTTGACGGGAGATCACACTCAGTCCCCTGACTGGTACCAAAGTTGGACTGGTGACTTCGGAAACGAGAAACTTTCTGAAGAATGACGGGCTCTGACCGGGTCGACGGGAACTGGGCGACACCTGAGGACTCCAGCAGGAGGAGCACGTGGGCGGCCTCCCCACGTGTTGGCACTGCCCGGACCCGGGAGGCCGAAACCCGCGTTTGTTACTTACCGATCAGCTTCAGCTCTTGGTCGAGGCGGGATTTCTCGAAGGGTCTCCGCGGGGTCACATAGGTTTTGCGACAAACCCAGCTCCGGGCAACCGGCATGTTGGCTCCGCTCGCCCGTCCGCGCCTGCACAGGAGAAAGGGATGAACGCTGCGGCGCCTGCGCAGTCTCAGCTACGCGAGAACCTCGCGGCGCGCAGCTAAGATCTCGCGAGAACCGCCACTGAAGAGTCGAATAAACTCTTTAATCCGCGGGCCAAACACTCTCGCCTCACCCCCAACTTCTGTACCGTGCTCACTGAAGTTCACAAAACCGCATGACTTCGTAACCCACCCCCTGCCTAGAAACCATGACCACCCGCCTCACCTCAGCGGGACCCCAAGACAACTGAGAAAGAGGCGCGCGCCCGGCCCTGGCGCGTTTTTATACGCTGCCTGTTCGTTACGTCATCACGCACGGCGCACTCCTTCACCAATCAGAAGCAGCGTAGGCGGGCGGAAACGTGGAAGAGGCGAGTAGTTGGGCCAGAGCGGCGGAGGGAGCTGGGAGGGCCGTCATTTCCCCCGCCCGGGGCGGGGCTACAGAAATGGGGACCCTCCTCCAGCCTTGAGGGTGGCCCCACGAGCCCCGCCGGCCTGCTCCAAGCCGCGCCTGAGTGCCCGAGAGGTGGCCTCCCCAGGCTGCAGACGCCTCCCGCTCTGTGAAAAGGCGACCAGAGGCCTGGAGCCTTGCGAACTCGGAGCGCCGGGCCGGGAAGCCCCGTGAATCCGTGACGAGGGAATGTCATCTTTCCTGTCAAAGGGACGCCAACCCCTACACCCCCCAAAACCTGTCAGCTCCTGAGCCCTGCCTGCCAGGATTCGTGCAAACCGGCTTTCCGTCCTCATGGGCTTCCACGTCAGCCCGGTTTTTGTAGAGAAGGGGTGAGGGGAACGACCTGGGTGGAAACCGGTCACATCGGGGTGCTGCTCACCCAGGGCCCTTGGCCACCGTCTAGGGAAGCCGCTTGTCCGCAACCTGGACAAGTGTTTCATTATGTGACGGTCCTTTTTCTATGCACAAGGTAGTACTCTGCCCGAATGCCAGCCTCTCTCCTCAGAGAACAGAGAAGAGGGAACATAATGTTAGATAAACGAGGTCCAGCATTTCAGAGTGTGCGCTATGAACAGCTGAATAGCTGCCAGCACCTGAGCAAAGGCTGGAGGATCCAGCTCAAGCTTGGCATAGTACCAACATGTGGCCCATCGAAGCCTGGAGAAAGTCACCACAGCATTTACCAGCACCAAGGCCTTCTCCGTGAGGTTACAGACAGATTGGGCCATGGTTCTAGAATGGGAAGTCCATGGCCCTGAATGGCCAGCTCAATGTCACCACCTTGGCTTCCTACATGGTTGCGCATGTTGACAGTCTGACTTCCTAAAGCCTCCCTAACATTTGGCTGCCTTCCTGGATGACTGTTATAGACAAGTGTGCTGGCTTCCTGGGCTGTTTCTTAAACACAGGGGGGCTGGTTTCCTAGGCAGGTGCTGCAGGTTGTGGGTCAGAGTTCTATTTTTATATATGATCTGGTCATTGTTCATTTGTAGATCCAGTTTCTCAATAACTAGAGGTGGGGCCATCAGGCTCCTTCCCATTCCTATCATAGCTGGTGCCCTCTACCCTCAACAGTCAGTGTCACTTCCATGCACTCCTCCGTCCTGTCACACCAGCCTGTTCTCTCCAGATGTGTGGGCTCAAACCAACAATCACCACTGGCCAGCTGCAAGACCTTGGACAAGTATCTCTATGAATCTCGGCTTCCTCAGCTATAAAATGGAGGTGGTAGCAGTGCTGCCTTTAGGGCTACTGGAGGGCTAAAGGACCAGTCTCGGCAGAGTGCTCAGGATGGTGTCTGCCAGTAAGGGGGCACTCAGCATTAAGTAGTATCACCACCATTATTTCTGCATCTTTCAAACTACCTGTTCACTTTTTTTTCCTTGTTTACAGATTATCTCCCAGACAAAAAAAAGTTAGAGGGCAGGGACCTCACATTCCCTACTTGTCAATGTCTTAGCGTAGGCCCAACATATGTCATTTGGTGACAGTCAACAAATTGTTAAATATATGATTAATGATATATTAATACTACATGTATCATCTATAGATCAGAGGTTCCCATGACCCCCAACTTGAGTTTGATTAATTTCCTAGAGTAGCTCCCAGAATTCAGGGAAATAGTTGACTTAGTGAGATCACTGATTTAGACTACAGGATGTTACTTAGGAGCAGCCAGCCAGACAAGATGCACAGAGCAGGAATGGAGGACGGGATGCGCAGTTGCAGTGTCAGGGCTCTCTCTACACACATTGTTCTTCCCAAGTTACCATGTGTTCACCAGCCCCAGAGCTCCCCAAACTCCATTCTTTCGGGTCTTTGATTATTTAGGTACGATTAACTCATTGGCTATGGGTTAAACCTCCAGCCCCTGGCCTGGGGGTTGGGGGTTGGTGGAGGCTGAATGCCGGTCCTCTGACCCTGACCCCTGACCCACAGGGTGGTGCTTGGTTACCCTGACCACCTGTCCCTTCTCAAGTGCTTTACAAGTCGCCTCATTAACATAAACTGAGATGTAGTTGATAAAGGTCTGATGTGAATGGGAGGACACCTTTATCTCTTACTTACCACTTAGGAAGTCCAAGAAATATAGGAGCTGTGTCAAGAATGAGGCCAGAACCCAAACATGTATTTTGTATTAGCAATCACAAAATCACATTAGTGCAAGTAGAACAGCAAATAATCAAGAAGGAGGGGAGCATTTGGGAGGGGTGTTAAATTTTAAGGAAGGGTGACTGCCTGAGACCTGAGAAGTGACAGTGAAGGAATGATCAGCCAGCAGCGAGGGACAAGACCAGGTGACCTGCAGGGGAAGACATTCCAGGTAAGGTATGACCAGAGACTGGTTTTGTAATCTTTGCTTTTATTTCCAGATGGGGAATACAGGGGAGTTTTAAATGGTGGAGTGACATGGACTCATTTAGCTTGTGTTGAAAGCGGCTGTAAGAAGGGGAAGGAAATAAGTCAAAGAGATGAGGTAGGAAGCCATCACTCATATGAGTGATGTTCTGGCTTTAGCCAACTTGTTGGAGTGAAGATGGGACGAAGAGGTCAAATCCTAGATCTACTGCATTGAAAAGGTAGTACCTACAGGATTTAGTGGCTGACTGGATGGGGGGACATCAGTCACAAAAGGTGGGTTTTTTTTTTTTTTTTTGGACTTTTAACAGCAGTTTTTAGATATACAGCAAAAATTGAGAGGACGGTACAGGGATTTCCTACAAGTCCAACCACCCTCCCCCCCGCCCCCAAACATACACATAGCTTCCCCTGTCAGTATCTTCCCACCAGAGTACCACTGTCACAGCTGAACCTCCACTGACATGTCATCATCACACGAAGTCCATCGTTTACAGTAGGGTTCACACTTGGTGGTGACATTCTATGGGTCTAGACAAATGTGTGACATGTATTCCATCACAGAGTATTTTCATCTCCCTAAAAATCCCCTGGTCTCCACCTCTTCATTCCTCCTCCAACTCTGGCAACCACTTACATCTACTGTCTCCATAATTCTACCTCTCCTGCCTCACCTGCTGCTCCCCTCAGCAGTGTATTTCAGTCAGTCTGCCTGTTCTGTTCTCCACTCTGTCTCTGGTGAATCCTCTCACCTCCCACACATCTGGCCTGTACCCCGGTTCTTGTATAAATAAATCTTAAAAAATAAAATAAAATTGGGCCTCCCCTGGTGGCGCAGCGGTTGAGTGCTAGGCTGTGAAGCTGCCCGCAGTCTCTGCAGCACCGGTTCGGTCCCCAGCCGCCGGGCGAGGGTCCCACATGGCGCAACAGACCTCTCCTGCTGTGCCCGCTGCTCCCCTCAGCAGTGTATTTCATCACTCTGCCTGTTCTGTTCCCCGCTCTGGCTCTGATGAATTCTCTCACCCTCCCGCGTTTCTGACTGTACCCAGTGCTTGCATAAACAAACAAATAAATAAATAAATCTTAAAAAAAAGAAAAAAAAAGTTAAAATAAATAAATAAAATAAAATTACAACATTCCCTCCCAGCTTTTCTTCATGATATTTTGATGTGTGCATTTGAAATATTTTTTCAAGACTCCTTCCTAGAGGAAGTTTAGTGAGGCAGGAACAGCCTAGACTTCAGAATCAGAAAGACCAGATTTGAAACCCCAAATTCCAGCCCTGCCACCTAGCAGCTGTGTGACCTGGTATCGTCATTCCCCACCCCAGCCTTTCATTCTCTGTATAAGCAGCTGCCAATACCCACACTTCCCAGGATTGTCCTAAGAATTCAAATCACAATCTCCACATTTATTCAACAAGTTTATTGAGACCTCTTGGGACCTATGCCGGGTAGAAAACAGAGATGTACCAAACCCCGTCAAGATGTTCAAGAAGCTCACAGTTTGGAAATAGGTAACTAAAAAAACAGCACAGCTGGCATGTGCTTTGTAACAGGAGGGACTTAAGGAGCACGTAGTGTTCGTGTTCGTAAGTCTGGAATCAAACCTAACCACAGGGAGAGGCAGGAGGGTGCTCAAGCCTCCCCAGCAGAGATGAGTATGACCATCCAGAAAGGCTGCTCTCGCCCCCGCCACAGCCACATCCCACAGGTCTCTGGAGCTCACTGCAGGCTGGCCCACTGCAGGGAGGTGTACACCACCTTACCATCCGGCTGTGGCGAACACAGGAGCAGTGTCTTCCGCACACTGGTTCCCAGGCGGCCGGCAGAAACCAGGTCCTGGAGTGGGATGGGGTCCCCGGGAGCCCAGCACTGAGCAATGTAGTGGGCATGGAAGCGGAGTGGGTCACCTGGGTGAGAAGAGAGGCATGCAGCCATTTCCAATGGCACAGGCCTGGACGACACTGGAACATGTCTTAGCAACTGCTATGAGTGTCCTAAAACAGAGAGCCTTGGACACATCAATTCTACCTCTACGAATTTTTTTTTCTTACAAGAATAGCAGCACTGGGCCTCCCTGGTGGCGCAAGGAGTTAAGCACTGCACTATGAAGCAATCCACAGCCTCTGCAGCACGAGTTTGATCCCCAGCCAGCCAGGGAGCAACCCACAGGGCGCAACAGACCTCTCCTGCCTCGCCCGCAGCACCCCTCAGCAGTGAATTTCAGTCAATCTGCCTGTTCTGTTCCCTACTCTATCTCTGGTGAATCCTGTCACCCCCGCCCCCCCCCCCCAGCATCTCTGGCCTGTACTCCAGAACTTGTATGCATAAATAAATAAATCTTTAAAAAAAAGAAAAGAATAGCAGCACTAAAATATACCTATAAAGATGGTCACTGTTATCATTTACAATGCTAAGCAATGGAAACAAACAAACCAGAGATGGGTTAAATGCATGGTGTGTCCATAAAA